CTGTGCAGTGAACCGTTCAGAGAATTCACATGGGCAAGTTTTAACTGAGGAAAAACATAAAAGAAAGACCACTTTTTATTGCAGTCACTTGTGCAATCTGGTTTACCATGAGACTGCACAAATGCTAGTACAAGCAGATACAATAGGCACAGGGCAGGACCATTCTTGTGGGAACAGGGTATGACTGTCTATTTAGAGTGATCATAAAATTACAGAGCAAGAAAAATGAGATGTTCTACTGCTTCAGCACAAAGCATATCTCTTAGGCCTGAAACAGGACTAAGAACAGAGGGGAAAAGGAATGGACTGCTCCAAGAAAGAAAAACAGCCCTTCCAACTAGAGGTCCTGCTACTCCATTACACTATTCTTAAGTAACTCCAGAAATACTCTGCAGTCATTAGCATTGGTGGTTATTGCTACGGGGCTCTTCTGGCACCGAGGGCGAACTGTCCTGAGATTACAATGCTAGAAGCGAGGTCTCACTCAGTCACTGCTTTGGGACAGAATTAGAAACATCTTTCACCTCCTAAGCAATCTGTCTCTTCTAAGCAATGTCCCAGAAGGCTACACACATGTGCTACAAACTTAAGTAGGAAAAACGGACAGGGTAGGTCTTATGCTACCACTGCTGAGTATGTGGTTCTCAGAACTGCGTATTTTGTGATGGTTTCATGTCACCAGGTTTCTCTAAACCAGGAAAAACAATAGCTCCCAAGCAGAAGTTGATGCAGCTGAACTAATCATCTGTGCTATAACATTACTTTAGAACAAAAAAATCGTTCTCATGCGGTGGATGAGATTTGAATACCAACCACTGCCTGTTTCAGCATACAAAACAGGCTCACTGGTGTCATTCCCTTGGAGACTTGAGCTAACAGTGCTTATTCTAGTAGCCAAGAACTGAGTAGTACATCATCAAAATACTACTTGTAATCAAATGAGATTCCATGCTATTCTTAACCACATGTTTGTGACCACACTGACATTCACTGGAAGTACACAGATGGTTGTGAAACTATGCCTAGGTTACACACCCAAAGAAGTAACAGTATACCTAGAGACAAGCTTCACTACCTTAGAAGCCCATCATTTACTTTAATTCAATTACTAAGCCTAAGTAAATGCAAAAAGTTGATTAATCACTATTATCATCAATGACTCCTAGGGAACACAAAGAAAATAGTCCAGACAAATATGTTTATGATGACACTTTCAGGAACCGCAAGAAGGGATCTGTGCCCATTCTGTATTACCAAGTATCACACATTCCTAATTTTTCAGAGAAGACTAATCCTATAGATGGATGCTTTAGAAGTAATAAATGATGCAATAACTCTCATGGAAGATGGATAGGGGAGAAAATTTAGTGCTGTATTTCAGCTAGAAATCATTTCTGTAAGTAAAATCATATTCAGTCATGGAGAAGAAATGCCTAGAAGTGAAACAGACCACAAACTGCTAAGGTACTACCCCCAGGCAAGAAACTTATACAGATCACCACTGACTCCCACTCTGGACTCTGGTGGCAAAATCGAACAGAAGAAGAAAAATGACAGGATGATGATTCAGTTGCTATCTCTCACTGCAGCTACATGTGTTTAAAATACACATGTATTTTTCTAAAAAAAAAAAAAAAAATGCTGGATAGCTGAGAAACAGCAAAACACTGAATTCTCTTTTACAGAGATAATGCTACTGTCTCTAAAATACACATGTGGATGGTGAAACAGCAAAACACTGAATTCTCTTTTACAGAGATAATGCTACTGTCTCTACGTTGGTGGAGTTGAGGAAAGGAACAGAGACTGCCACTGAAGTCTTTAAAGGTCCCTAAGACACAATGAAGTACTCCACCTCAACAGACTCAAATGGCATAAAGCAACCATAAAAAATAAACAACTTTAGTTAAGCTTAGAGGTAACAGCTACATAGCAGAACTTTAAGAGGAAATCTCTTTTGACAGAGTTCAATTACAGCTGCTGCCACAATGCCCCTGAACAATTTTGGACCAAAAAAGTCAAAGACACTGTTTTACACCCTCTGTAGTTACCTAAACATATATCCCAGGATACCAATGATGTCACACATCCCAATGTGATGAAGCACACAATTTCCTTAATTTTCAATATATCCCATAACATGCACTTTTTGCATCATTACACAAATTTTTCCTTTCATGCAGCACAGTGAAACCAGGTGACTATATGATTCCTTACCACCACCCTGTATAGCCTGCAAGAAATTATATAGCAGTCAGCTAAGCCTGAACACACTTAAATGTGAAAGCAAACAGTATGTAAAAGAAAGAGATGCTGAAGTTAGAGTAACTGTTAGAACCATTACTAAAAGTCAGTTTCTAGTATTGTTGAGATTAATGAATTTTCAATTGTAACAAGTTATCACACAAGTAACCTTTGAAACCCTTTATCTTCATTTTAAGTGAAAATAAAGCTTAACCAGCCACTACCTACGCAGCAACAGATTAAAAATATACAGCCTAAAATAGGCTGATTGTAGCAAGCGTGAGGATAACAGACTAAGGCTGGTAAACTGCTTTACATAGGGATTTAATAAAATCAACTTTATTTTCATTATATTAAATAGATTACAAGGCCTTCATACATGCAAAATTATTCCTGTCACGACACTGTTCTCTATGACAGACTTAAATTAGAAACAAAACCCACATTTTTAAATAAAGCCAGCTAATCACTGGCAGAAAATGGTAATTTTTTTTACTTCAAATATTTAAATAAAGCTTAGCTGTCTTTTTCTGACAACTATTACAGTTTAAACATGATTTATGAGCTTAGTGCAGCTATTACTGGATATAACTTGATTATAGTCTGTGTCATCAAATGTAATTTGTCTACAGGACAGCAGACTTAGAGAACACTGAAGTCCACCAGATTTTAAAGCCTATTAACAGTGTTATATGTCAAAGAAAGGTTTAGCATCATGGGACACTGACAATTTATACACATTTCTAATTTTCGAGCTTTAGTTATAACTGTTTAACAAATAGAGAAGCAGGGAAGTTAAATTTTGGAATTAGTCAGGGATCAACTGAGAAATTGATAGGGTATTGCAGACACCACCTCTTATGTACAATCAGCTTAAGGACTCTGATAAGAGTCCCATGGAATTTCATTTCACCAAGCTCAAATGCTGCTTTTACTTTATCATAGCCTGACCAGTAACCTCACCAACTGAACTACAGCTCTGATGAGTAAATGTTTAAAATCTCTGAAAAACTTTCATGTAACTCACCATTTGTCCTGGTGGTCTCAGTCTCATTTTTAAGGCAGCCATGTGATTTGATTTTTCTGCGGTAATTTCTCCGCTCTGAATTAGCTCCATTCAGATACAGAGAAAATCCTCTTTCTAACTGCTCCAGTTTGATTTGTAGGGGATCCTTTCTTTTTAAACGTTCCAGTAACCTGAAGTAGAAAGGATAATATAATTCATCCTTATGCAGTGCAGTGCACAGATAAGCATGCACATAAAGTCAGATATGGTTTGATGACACTTTGACGATATGATGTCCCAAAATCATATGACGTCCCAAAACCAAAAAATGTTTCCAGTTCACAAGACAAAAGCCTTCCCTCTAAGCCATAGGAAAAAAAAAAAAAAACAAAACCTATTTTATTAACAAATTTGTCTATATTTTCATGTATGCTGAAAAAATATTGTGATCTCTTCTAGACATAAGAACTTTGATGTACTTGGCAAACAAAGAAAAGAGAATTACAAAATGCTTTTTAGGCACAGTTAGTCAGACTTTGCACCACAAGTTTGAAAAACAAGTTCTTAAACTAACTTTCACAACTGCTGATATTAGATACTGTATTAGGGCACAACAGACATTACATACTCAATGGTGGTAACAATTCCGTATCTTACCGGTTTCTCTGCTGAAGGGATATTAAATATTCGTCATGTTTTTCATCAAAGTCAGTCACCATGTCCTTAATATAAAACTGAAATAAGAATTTAATTGTCACACTTAAGCATAGAAATTATCTGTTATAGAGTACTACTGGCTTTGTATCCTCAATAGACATGAATGCCATAAACTGAGACAAGTTCGTTCTACAAAGCATAAAATCATCAGTGCAGCGAACTAAATTCCTGTAGAGGAAACTTTATTTGTTTTACATATTTTTCAGAACACTTCACCATCTACTAAATAGATAAAAATATGAGTTTATATTCCATGAATTGACAATCAAGTCAATTACGGGGCACAAGCTGAAAGGGGCATGCCCAAAGTTCAGCTGTAGGATGATTTTCCTGAATTGTTTCTGCTCATAAGGTTAGTCAATTCTAGAACTGTGTTAACTCTATTAATTAATTATTATTCATTCTAGAGGCTGTATACATTTAAATTGTTTAATAAAATATTTTCCCTTGCTTGCCGTTCAGGAAAATGAACTTTTCCAGCAATCCCCACCAATTATCCCAGAGTAACTGCTGCAACTTGTGGTAGGGTGCCCTCTTACACACTCAGAAGCTTAAACTTGCCACCAGACCGTTCAATTTACTTCTGCACAAAACCGAACAAAACCAAAAAACCCACGACCGAACAAAAAAAAAGTAAACAAATGAAAAAAAAAAAAAAAAAAAAAAACAAACGACAAACCAGCAACCAAACCCCCCTCTAAACATACTCGATCTCTTACCGACTGCAGTACTGCCCGTCCCGCGGCCCGGCTGAGATAACGCAGTGTGCGGGCTGGTCTAACAGCACTCCCGATCCACAGAGCAGGGCCGCACGTCCCGCCCGCCTGCGCTGTACCTGAGCAGAGCCGGCACAGCCCCGGGCCCGGCAGGAACGGGAGCAAAGCCCCGCCGGGCACAGAGCCAGCCGCGACTCGTCGAGGGGCTAACCGGGCCAGGCCAGACCCCGCCGCCGCGGCCCTGTTTGAGTGTTTCCTTGGTTACCGTCGCGGAGGTGATCTCACTTCCTTCGCGCGGCCCGGAAGCCGTGGCGGACATGGAGGCGTTATGGGCAGTGCTGGACGAGGTGGCTCTGGAGGGCCTGGACGGGATCACCCTGGGCGCGCTGTGGTACCGTCTGGGCACCCGCTCGCCGCCCTTCCCGCTGCCGCTGGAGCCCGCCACGCAGCAGCTCCTGTGGGCCGCGCTCAGCGCACAGCCCGGTGTCAGCTTCTACCTGCTGCCGCTGGCGCGCCCGCCGCTCCGCCTGCACGACCGGTGAGGGCCGCGCCGGGGGACTGTGCTCCCCTCCTGCCGATCCGCGCTGCCGCGCTTCCCTTGTCCCGCTGGGCTGGGTGCCTCACGGGGAGGGCTCGCTTCTTTGCGGGGTTCATCGGGCCTGGTTGGTTACTCGGCCGCCCCGGTGGCTGCCCGTGCCGCCTCTGCTCGTTCCCCGGAGCCGCTTGGGTTTAGCTGAAAGAACGCCGAAGTGGGCTGGGTGGCGGCAGGCAGAGAGGAGCGGGGGTTTGAAGCCTGCTCTGTAGGAGACCTGTGCAGGAGTCCTGGCTAGATTTCTGATCAAATAAGTTGTCAAATTACTATTTGCCCCTTATCCACAGGGAGGATTTATGGCCTAGTTCATCAGCATGGATGTACCTGTTGTTTTCTGCATCTAGTATCTATATGTGTCTTGTATTCCCACCATTTAAATATCCTTGGATTTTTGAAGATTGGATAATGTATTCCCCTTCTCCTGCTTCATACACTCTGCCTACTGATAAGGTTTGGTCGTGCTCGAGGAGTGCAGCTCTGCACTTTGTGTTTTTCCAGCTTTGAGGTTTCAAAAGAGTTTCATTTTCCCAAGATATTTCACAGAGATATCAGCATTGTTTGTGTTATATTTCGGTTCCAAAGTCCTCTTTCTCGGTTAAATGTTGGCTCTGCTTTCATTTCAGATATGAAGAAATAGACCTTGAAACAGGAATACTAGAAACCAAAAGAGATCCTGTTCCTTTGGATGATATTTATCCTGTCCACATGATTTTGGATAATAAAGATGGCATCCAGGGTTCCTGCCAGTATTTTAAAGAGAGAGTAGATATCACTGATCAAATAAGGAGGAAGGATTTGCAGCCTTGTTATACTTATGTAGAAGCTATTGAAAAGTGAGTGAAATTTTTGTGTCTATAAAGGTTATTAACTTCAGTTTTAAAATTTAGCCCTCAGTCTGTGCAGATTATATCAAGAGTGGTGTTTGGGGGGTAAGTGATCTCTCTGTTTTTATTGCACTAATAATAATTTATTACTTTCCCTACTGTTTTGTAGATGGGGAGAGAAGCTAGTCATTGTTGCTTCCCAAGACCAGCGTTATAGAGCTTTGATAGGCTGGGAGGGGGACCCTGACTTAAAGCTCCCAGACTTCTCCTACTGTATTCTGGAGCGTTTAGGCCGTGCTAGGTGGCAAGGAGAGCTTCAGAGGGACCTTCACAGTGGGGCTTTCAAGTAAGTTTATGTCTTGCTATACCAATGAAAACAAAGCTAATAAGTTTCCACTGGCTGTCTGTAAAGATCTGTCCACTTAAGACTTCCTATGTATTGATTTAAACTCTTGTTTGTATTTATAGTGTCTCATCCTTACTACCAGAAGCACTGGGTTGTTAGAGCTTGTATTGCTTAAAGCGTACAGATCTCTTCTTGAGTTCATTATATTACCAGACATTTTTTCATGGAACCAGAGATCATCTGTTGGGTTAATACACGTTTCTAATTTGTAGAAGTTCTTGCTTTCTCTAAATCACTTTTTCTTCAAACTTGGGTGAAATGATGGTTTTCATTTACTTTTCTTAAGGCATCTTATCCTGCCCAAGTTCTGAAGAAATTCTTTGTCCCCAGAATTTGTGCTGTGTAACATAGAATCACAGAATAGTTAGGGTTGGAAAGGACCTTAAGATCATCAAGTTCCAACCCCCCTGCCATGGGCAGGGACACCTCACGCTAAACCAGGTCACCCAAGGCTCTGTCCAACCTGGCTTTGAACACTGCCAGGGATGGAGCATTCACAACTTCCCTGGGCAACCCATTCCAGTGCCTCACCACCCTTATAGTAAAGAATTTCTTCCTTATATCCAATCTAAACTTCCCCTGTTTAAGTTTTAACCCATTACCCCTTGTCCCATCACTACAGTCCCTAATGAAGAGTCCCTCCCCAGCATCCCTATAGGCCCCCTTCAGATACTGGAAGGCTGCTATGAGGTCTCCACACAGCCTTCTCTTCTCCAGGCTCAACAGCCCCAACTTCCTCAGCCTGTCTTCACACGGGAGGTGCTCCAGTCCCCTGATCATCCTTGTGGCCCTCCTCTGGATTTGTTCCAACAGTTCCATGTCCTTTTTATGTTGAGGACGCCAGAACTGCACACAATACTCCAGGTGAGGTCTCACAAGAGCAGAGTAGAGGGGCAGGATCACCTCCTTCGACCTGCTGGTCACTCTCCTTTTGATGCAGCCCAGGATACGGTTGGATTTCTGGCCTGCAAGCACACACTGAAGCCGGCTCATGTTCATTTTCTCATCAACCAACACCCCCAAGTCCTTCTCTGCAGGGCTGCTCTGAATCTCTTCTCTGCCCAACCTGTAGCTGTGCCTGGGATTGCTCCGACCCAGGTGTAGGACCTTGCACTTGGCATGGTTAAACTTCATAAGGCTGGCATCAGCCCACCTCATAAGCGTGTCGCAGTCCTTCTGGATGGCATTCCTTCCCTCCAGCATATCAACCGAACCACACAGCTTGGTGTCATCGGCAAACTTGCTGAGGGCGCACTCAATACCACTGTCCATGTCACCGACAAAGATGTTGAACAAGACCGGTCCCACACTGATCCCTTAGGGCCACCACTTGTTACTGGTCTCCAGCTGGACATTGGGCCATTGACCACAACTCTTTGCATGCAGCGATCCAGCCAGTTCTTTATCCACTGAGTGGTCCATCCATCAAATTGATGTCTCTCCAATTTAGAGACAAGGGTGTCGTGTGGGACAGCGTGGAACGCTTTACACAAGTCCAGGTAGATGACATCTACTGCTCTACCCCTGTCCATCAGTTCTGTAGCCCCATCATAGAAGTCCACCAAATTGGTCAGGCAGGATTTCCCCTTAGTGAAGCCATGCTGGCTGTCACCAAGCACCTTGTTGATTTTCATGTGCCTTAGCATGCCATCCAGGAGAATCTGCTCCAAGATTCTGCCAGGCACAGAGGTGAGACTGACTGGGCTGTAATTCCCTGGGTCATCCATTTTCCCCTCCTTGAAAATGGGGGCTATATTTCCCTTTTTCCAGTCATCGGGAACTTCACTTGACTGCCATGATTTCTCAAATATCATGGCCAGTGGCTTAGCAACTTCATTCACCAGCTCCTTGAGACCCGCAGGTGGATTTCATCAGGTCCCATGGACTTGTGCATGTTCAGGTTCTAAAGATGGTCTCGAACCAGATCCTCTTCTACAGTGGGCCCAAGGTCTTCATTCTCACAGTCCCTGCATCTTCCTTCCAAGACTTGGATGGTGCGGTCGGAGCCTTTGCTAGTGAAGACTGGGGCAAAGAAGTCATTAAGAACCTCAGCCTTCTCCAAATCCAGGGTAGCCAATTCTCTTTATAGCTTCCAGAGAGGGCCCACGTTGTCCCTAGTCTGTCTTTTATTCGCAGCATCTTCCTCTATTACCTGAACAGCAGCCTGAGTTACCAGCTCCCAAACTAGACCATGTATTTTGTGGATGGAGGAGCATTACAGAGCCTCTTCAGGAATTCCTGGTATTGGAGTGCTGGAGCATATTAGCATTGCTGCTAAGGATTCACTGCTTTTAGGAGATGAAGCTTGTAAACCACACTGGCATTCTTTTTTTTGCCACTTAGGAAGCTCTTTTAGGTAACTAAGATGATGGGTGCAGAGGGGAAGTATTTTGTGGGAACTTTTCTGTCAGTTCAGTTGCCTAAGACAGCTCAAAATGGAGTGAGATGAATATCAAAGTTATTGCAAGGGGGGCTGTGATTGTAGTGTAGCTGGATTTAGGAGAGGATGGAGAAGGAGGGCGTGGGACTACAATAATGGTTCAGCTGTCTCATTAAACCATGCCATGACACTGATTATGCATAGGGACTGTAGGTTAAAACTGGAGGTATTTCTCTGTGTTTAATTGGATTAACTATGAAAATCAGTTCCACAGGTTATCTTAATTTTGGCAGTTCCTAATTTTGAGATTGTCTTTTTGACAATTAACATATGTTGCCAAGACCATAGGTAATTTAGTTAAAGTGTTTTGGAATTAGAATTAATTAGAATTGATTTGCAGAAGTTCCTATGCCTATAGATATCTTGCCATCTTTTCTTTAGAGTGGATGCTGGAAAAATTCATTATCACCGAAGAGTATTGGACAGAAATGGTCTCATAACAATGCAGTCCCACGTCATAAGACTACCAAGTGGATCACAGCAACACTCAATTCTTCTGCTTCTGACTCGCTTTCATGTTGATAGGTATGTGCCAGTCAGGTGTTTTAAAGATCTCCTGACTAGATTGTGACCTTTTATGATGATGGAAGATTGCTCTGTTGTCACAGAACCATCACAGTTTCCTGCTATTGACTCTTCTCAATTTCTTCATTACCTCCTTTTCTGAATGCTGGACAGTTTAAAACTTACTTGTCTTGGAGCTGTATACAGTAAGGGGATTCTAGTTCCTCTCACCTTCCTGCATAAACCTAACTCTTCATATTGTGGCACTAACCTTTCTGTTAATTTTGTGTGTTCTCACTTCACATGCATTTCTAATAGATTTTTTTGTTTTCCTGTCTTCGTTATGATTAAAACTTGTACTTCTGTGGATTGCCAATGAAGCAACAGCCTGGGATAGTCACTGTTACCTCAGTTGAAGTTTCTTCTTAGTGCTATTCACAGAAGGAAAAACCCTGTAATTTCTAAAACCATCTGAGAACACTTCAGCATACTTTCCCTAGCGAGTGACCTTTTGTAAAGGTACAACTCATGTTTATAAAGCTTGTATGCATGCTTACATGTAAAATCATTTTCTTGGTTAGGAGGAGCAAATACGATATTCTGATGGAGAAACTCTCAAGTATGCTAAGTGCTCGTTCAAACCAGATGGAGACATTAGGAAACCTGAGGGAAGAACTGGTGAGATTCATTATCTTTCAAATTCTCACTAATGTAGAATCGTGATGATAGGTATCAAAGGCAGTGATTTGTACTGCCTGATTTTTTAAGTTGCACAAAATTTGGAGGTAAAATATTAAAAGAAGGATCTTAAAAAGCTACTAGATCAAGTTGCTGTTTGTCATAAGGAAGGAGTTCTGTTCAATCCACAGATTCAGAAAAGTTCGTCAGTGGATATCATTATGCAGTTCTGACTTGCAGTGCTGCTGCTGATTTGGACAGTAGAGTCAGAGGGTAGAACACACTCCAGAAGCCTCTTGTGCTCTGCCTGGTGTCTGCACTAGCAGGATTTAAGATCCTTCTTTAATATCCTACTCCACAATACTGTGATATAAGAAGAGGCAGTATGAATGTCTTTGATACTAATCACCTACAGGTGAGACTTTGGCTACAATGACTTTTGTCATTTCTCTTTGTGTTAGGGTCTTTGTGAAAGAACCTTCAAACGTCTGTATCAATATATGATGAATGCTGGCCTAGCCAAGGTAGTATCCATCCCATTACGAGACATACACCCTGGTGGAGGACCCTACAAGACAAAGAAAGGTAGCTAGAATCATGTCTTTGCTTTCTTTTTTGTGTAATTACATTGATACCATTCTATCTATAAGCTTCAAATATTAAAAGATGTGTAAGTGAAAATCTGCCTATGCAATTAATATGGAGAAATGTATTAATAAAGCTAGAATACTGCAGCCCACTTGAATTAGGCGTTTGTTCCAGGTTTTTAAGAAATGACTGGAGTCAAGTTTGCTGTATATCAGCTTAAGCTGTTTCAGTTGATTGCGACTCCTAATAAAACTGCTTACACCAATACAGAGAGCAGGAACAAAGAACAGTCTGCTGACCTTTCTGGAGGTTTGCAAGAACTGCTGATAACTTCCAAACATGTAGTGGAAAGACAAAGATGAACAGAAAAATATGAAGAGAGGAAACTAAAGAGAGCAGCTGCTCTCAGAAAAACATGCAGATAAAACTTGCATGGGGAAAAAACTACAGGAAGTAATTACAAAAAGCATGAGGAAGGATAGTATCACCAATTCAATTAATACTAAAGGAAATCTAAATCAAATCTTTAATTACAGAAAATCCCAAGAGTCAGATTTTCAAGAGTTAAAAAGAAAATAGTCTAAAATAGTGTGTGTTTTTTTCAGAGATGAACTATTTGTGAAAATAAAAAAAGAATCTGATATGAACTAAATATTGCAAATTGCATAGGAGTGATCATAAAGGAAGAAGTACAAGTGTCAATAAAAATATGAGCACTTTGAGAAGACAAAAGTGATGCCAGTTACAAAGACTTGTATTAAGGCTTTTGATTAAAACAACAAATTCCTTCAAATATTTTAAGTTTGAGGGAGGGAAATCCCTCTTTTTAGGGAAATTGTTTTACAGACAAATAGAAGCAACAGCCAAAAGTAGGTACAGCTTCTAGCATGGTTCATAAAGAAATCTGTCACTTCATACTGAGTAAATAAGAGAGTGATTGAATAACTTCAGTTGGCACAAAATACGCAGGTTCATCTCCTTCCCTTGATATCAGAGGGAGTTTTACACAAGAGAATTTAAGTTCATAGTTTCAGGAAGGCAGTAGAGATCCTAAAAAAAAAATGAGAATAGATAAGAATAAAATAAAATACATGGGGAAATTATAATCTAATTTTTACAAAATACCTGTTGTACATAGTTAATGAATTCTAGTTTGAGCAAGTGTCTCAGTATACAGAGACTTGCACAACAGGGGTAGCTTTAGTCACACTGTTGAGCATAGTCATCGACAAAAAATTATTTTCTCTCTTAGACTGTCTTCGAGTGGTGTTACACCAGGTTGAATTTGGTTTTACTTCCTCACACTGACATGCAGAGATGTTCTAATGACCTGAATACACTTGCAAATAGACCACAAAAGACTAGATAGTATCCCTAAAAGAGTTTATAATCAGTAGTAAGAACATTTAACTTCCAATTAAGCTATTTACTTAAAAGACAAGAAAACACAAGTCCGTTTATAAGCTTAGTGGCAAGCCACAAAGCAGTAGATGATCCAGGTTTGTCAGAGATTGGCATGATGGCAGCTGCATTTACTACTTAAGGTCATCAGAAATATGCCACTTGATGAATCTTTCACTTGAATGGTAATTTCATCTTGCAGACTAAAAAGCTGAAAAGCCACACAAATGCCTTAAAGACCACTATGTATTAAACTGTGATGAATTAATAGTAGCTGATTTTCATTGGAGATCAAGATAGTTTAATCTCTGAAGTTATACAGGAAAGCAGATAGAAATATGTGGAATGCACTCAGGATGACAGCAGAACATTTGCTATAGGAAGCATGTTATTAGCGAGTAAAAGCTAGAGTAAAAGGAATTTGTGTTTTGCTTTGTGGGTTTGGTTTGGTTTTTTGGGGAAGTGGTGGGGTTTTGTTTTCAAATACTGCTTCAAGTGAAAACTAGTAGGCTGTAGAAATACAGAGGGCATAATAACAGTGCCTGCAGCCCTACCACAATGTCAGCATTTAATTACTACCCTAAAACAGTGTCTTAGAATACTGGCAGGAAAAGGATTCAGATGGAGGAAAAATAATGGAATCATCTGTCCTGGTGCTCAGTCACATGGTTAAATTACTGTGGATTAACTTCATGTTGGCTAAGCCTCAGTAAGTGATCATGCATAAGATAAAATTCATTAGCTGTAACCTCAATGATTTCAGCCAAGCTTTCACCTGGCATTTTTCACAGCAGGGGAGTACAAGAGGAGCAGAGATGGCTGTAGATGTTTCCACCCACTGCTGCAGGATGAATTGGCTACTTCTGCAGTAGCTGCTGAATCACTGCAGCTTGATAAGCTGGCAGTGTGCAGTAACCTGGTTGTAGTTTACTACCAGTCTCTTAAATTGTTCAGCAGGAGCAAGGTGATGCTGATGATTGTAGGTCAGGGACCAGAATTGCTGCAGCTTGCCTGAAGTCATCTGTCACCACTCTACCCTTCTGGGGTCTCATAGAAAAGTAGGTGGAGAGTTACTACAGCACAGCAAGTGCACATTAACATGTTAAGATGTGGAATTTGGTCATGTATGAGATTCTAGTGGCTGGTGGGCAGTAGCAGGTTCTGGTGTATGCTTCCACCAACATGCATGCACACAAATACAGAAGAAGGTGCAAGGACAAACAATAAACTGACAGTTATTTTAGGTCCTGTGAATATTAAATATTGGGAACTTGCAGCAGGACTTGGTAGGGCCCACCAACTTGTACCCACTTTGATCATTTGCTGAGGAAAGGCAATCCTGTGTTAAGGAGCAGTTTTGCATCCAGGTAGCTTACTGTGTGGATTCTGTATCTTTGAATGTATGGGTTTATTTCATTATATGACTTGCATTTATAGAAAGTGAGTCTGTAGAGGGAAAAAAAGGAGTGTTCTTATACCCAGTGGGTGATCTCACGGTCACGGATGTGCTCTGAAGATGTAGTACGGTGGGTCAACAGTTAACCCTTTAATTGATTTATTTATGCTTTTGAAATTTCTCCTGTTGGGCAGCCCTAATGGTGATGTGCACATGAAGGTTTAGAGCACTTCAAATTCAGCTAGGCGGTATTTTGGCAGATTTGTATATAGGGAAAAGCTGCTGCCACCCTTTCCTAGAAATAAACAGTTGTCTTTGATCATTTGTTCCCCATTCCCCTGCTAGTTATTCATGCTGCTGAAAAATAAAATGATTTAAATACATGCACCACCCCCTGCATTTTGTTAAGAGTTGTTACTAACATTCGTGTTCACAGGGACTGATGTCATGGTCCGTTGCCTGAAATTAGTAAAGGAATTTAAAAAGAAAATGGAAGAATACCACGATGATGATGAAGAAGAGATCATCACAAAAGCTGTTCAGCCTGTGGATATTGTTTGCGAAAGGGATATGCTCACCCAGGCTTATGAGCTAAGTAGGTGATGTAGTAGGACATCCTAAGATTTTTCCCATTCCCTTCTTACTCCTTGTATGTATATAAGAAAGGAGTTTGGTGTTTTTGTTTGGGTTTGGTTTTTTTTTAAGTTCTGGTTGCTCTTTAAATACTGGGAATTGTCAAGTTTTCATGGAGAAGATTAGCTTTATGTTCAAATTAGATTGAAGCTATAGGTGCTGCCTTAGCCTTCCTGGAAGCTTACCGATACCACTCAAATAAAACAGCGTGGCAAAACCAGGATGTTGTGGTGGGCTGGGAAAAGATTCTGAAGAAAATGGTGTTCCTCCTTCTTCTATCTCTTTTCATTTCATAATGGAGAAACTAATAACTAACTATGGACAGCTGTCAGGGGAAAAATTCACCCCTGCTTTTAATCTGAAGCTATCGCCTTCAAACCTCATTCTGCTGGGGCGCTGTTTCAGGTAAAGTTGTGTTTTATGACAGTATTTGACTGTATATTGTATATGTCTGTGAAAATATCTTTAGTGAGGAATGTTATAATATATAATTCTGGCATATTCAGTTATTCAGAGCAAATATAAATGTATATACAAAAACATGTATATACAATTGCATAAAATTATTTCTCTGAGATTTGTTTTCCTTTCTGAAACAGTTGAAAGTAGGGGAACCAAAGGTATTTCTCAGGCAGAAATTCGCTTGGCTATGAATGTGGGGAAGCTAGAATCAAGGATGCTGTGTCGTCTTTTGGAGAGGTACAAAGTTGTCAAGGTAAGATGCTTATTGAAACTGGAAATACAATTGTGGTTACTGTGGTAATGTGTTATAACATTGTTAACCTCAAACAATAGAAACAGCAGCGATTTAAGAATTGACAGTGAAACAGTCCTGATAAGATTGAAAAGCGTATGACTGCAACTGAGGAAAAGGTATATAAGACCTAAGCATTCAAAAAACATTAAGATTGTAACCTTCTGTAGTCTGAGGGCTAAGCCTAGTTGTTAGAAGGTAGCATATCTGCTCCTCTAGCATACCTTTTCTTTATCGTTTCCTAGTCAGCTGCCTTGACATCTAATAGCAATAGCTGGCTGACCCACACATACAAGTATTTTACATTGGTTTGTGACTGGATGCTTAAGTAATAAATAAAGAGCATGGGGAAGAATGCACATGGCCCCATATTTTCTGTCTGTATGGAACACGCATTCTGGTGATCCACACCAGCTGGTGGGATTCTGTTGGACGCTGCTTCACAGCATTCCAGAGAAACACTGTTCCCAGCACCATGACACAGGTCTGCCCTCCAAAAAGAGATGGGGCAGAGAAACTGGCCTCAGCCCTGCTTCACCTGTCATTTGGACCTAAGTAATTACCTAAGTAATTCACTGTACAATCAGTGGTAACCCAAGTGACCTGGGGGGCTGTTATTTCATGAGTTGAGATTTTTCTCAACTCAAAATATTCTCTTTGCTTAATTTGTGGCTCCAGGACTTCTATTTTGCAAGATCGTCTACTGAAAGGTCTTGTTGGAGACCCTTTGTACTTTTAAAATTCATCATTCATCTATTTGCTTTTGAAAATACCAGTGAATTCTGGGAAAAAAAGTTTCTTCTTTTAGAGGTTATGATGATGAAACTCATTATTTTGAGATTATTTTTTTTTTATTTGAACAAGATGAATTTTGTTGAAACAAAATTCAGCTGTCATTTCTCGCATGCACCCATCTGCCCCTTTTCATAAAGGCAGGATAATTGCTATCTCCCATCGACAGAGAATATTTTTACTAAGAGCTTGTCATTTGGGAAAAGGTTCTGTAGAATTAAAAAAAAACAACAAACCCTATATAGGATATCTAAAATTTTTCGATTTTAGTCTGAATATATATAGTTTGTTCTTCCTTAGACTTTTCTACATCCCACATACTGCAGGCACTTCATTCTAGTATGCAGGTAACGCAGATTGATTTCTTTTTCAAGCTTGGTGTTTCTTTTGATTTTTGTATGTTAGGGTGAGTCCACATTTTTGTTATTTAGAAAAAAAAGGAGAACACCATGATATATTTTAATGTCAGTCAAGAGCAGTTAGAAAACTTTTTCACTGTTGATGTTGAAGACCACTGCAAGAATGGAGAAATAAGGTGGAAAAATAATGTTCCAACTGTTCCCTTAGGGTTTTATGGAGGATGAAGGTCGGCAAAGGACAACAAAGTATATTTCATACATTTTTGCAGAGGAGAGTGATTTAAACCGTCAGTTTGAGAGAGAGAAGGCTAGGAGTGAGCAGCTAGCTACTGTTACTTTGGCTCCAGTGCCAGGAGATTCCCCACCTGCAGAAGATGTGTCTCCAGGAGAAGATGATACTTTGGTCTCTGAGTCTGACAATGAAGAAGAAGGGAAAGGTGGCAAGAAGAGAAGAAAAGGTCAGAAGGCCAACTCTGGTTCTCCATCTAAATTAAGTTTCCAAGATGATACCCATCAGTCAACACCAGCTAAAGGTAGAGTATGATTTTGAAATTTGGGGAAACCTTACATTTTTCTTATGGATCCTTTTATTAAAGAAAAAAAATACGCTGTAAGCCTCCATTAAAGCTTTTGGTCATATATTTATCTTTGCACTTACTTGATTATTTCCATGGGTTTTTTATGCTCTCTTTCCCCAGCATTGTTACATTTTGGAATTCTCTAAGTAGTAATCTCTGGAGATTCTCAGGGCTGAAGTGTGCTCTGATATTTGTGTATCAAATATTGTTTATGGTTATCCGTAATCACTGAAAAGATAATTGCTTCTCCTTACCCCTGTACCATTTCTTCTCCTCTTCCCCATGCAAATGAAATGGGCTCACACACCATACTGCTTGGATGTTCACTTTTCTTTCTTATGGTGTAAAGGGCTGAAATGATTCTGCAGAGGGTCAGACAAATTCTGAAACTGTTGCAAGAAAGGAGGCAGGATTGCGTGGCTAAAAGCCAGCACAGTGTGGAGATCGTGCTAGCTAGCAGTAAGGATGGCTTATGCTGCTGGGAGAACAGCATCCTTGGGTAAATTTTGTATCTGCCTTGGGTGTTCTGTGATGAACTGAGAAGGTATCTGTCATAGCTTCTCTCTTTTAGAATATATTACAGCTCAGGCTGTGCCCATTAGAGAGCACCATCTTCATAGAGCTTTAGCTTTAAAGTCCTTGAAGACTTTAAAATGGATTTGGCCACATTTTGTCTTTCTTGAAATATTTTCTTTCCTCCTCACTAAGGAAAAAGACAGGCTCTGCCTCATTAAAACACATCATTTCATTCCACTGGATGTGTAAATGTCATCTTAGGTGTGGGAAATGGCACAGGAGCTGACAGGAACATAGAAATTCTTCCCCTTTTAGCACCAGGGTTTTTTTTTTCACTTGGAAATGTCTGGTATTGAGCCTTAGAGTGTGCAAAATGTATTTATTCATGCACTGACGTAGACCTTCAAGTGGGGTTGAGTATACATAGAGTAATATGTCTGAGACCAGATAAGATGGTAACTGACTGCTTTCAGCATCAGTGGCCTTGGGATGCCTTGACCCATAGCCTTACTCACCTAAACGTATTGTAATAAATATCTTGTTCCTTAAGCTAATTGCTTCGTCTTTCTTTAGCTATTTAGAACATCTTAATGTGAAAGCTACCAGCCTTTTGGGATGTATGTTTAAGAGGATATGGTGGTTTATTTTTTAATTTTCTTTATTTTAACTATTTGTATGTTCCTATAGCTTGTCTGTGAAACTCCAAGGGAAAAGAGGAGAACAGATCATCATTTCTCTTGTAGATTATCTTTGGAGTAATACTAAATCCTTGTCCTCATTCTGCTTTGAGTCAGAGAAGTCAGGTTTCTGGCAGAACTTGAGAATCTTTGTGACAGAAACTCTCCTTTCTTCAGACAGCAGTTTCTGGATAAGCTAATCTGGCATTTCGTGGTCTTCTATGCCTGCTATGAAGGGGCTTCTGCATGAAGAGAATTACCTGGTGACAGGGAGCTCACTTTTTAAAAACTTTTCATTTTGAAGGCTGAATGCAGTCATTCATTGTCAAACCACTGCTTCCAGCAGAGTAGAAGAATAGGTGAAAAATGTAGCGAATGCTTTTAAGTGCAGTTATCTGCATTGTGGATGGGGGAATGCCTTTTATAGCAAGAGAAGCTGAACATTGACAGGGCATCATGAGAGCAGAATAATTACAAGGCTGTTCGCTCTTAAACCAGGCTCAAAGCCAACAGCCGTGAAGCCTCCGGGGAAGAAGCTGCCTTCCCCTCTCATTCTTGAAGAGCCCGATGAGATCCCAGACAATGTTTTGGGGGAGAGTTCTACTTTGGAAACTCTAAAGCAGGAGTCCAATCTGTCAACATGTGCTCTTTCCACTGATGAAGATGGGGATGGGGATGTGGCTGTGGTGGAGGAGGTCAGTCTTGAGGACCCTAAGGTAAGATCACATGTTTGAGTACCTTCTTGTTGGCACACCTGTCTGAGCTGAGTTACGCACTTTTACAGCAAGCCTTCAAGCTATAGTTTTGTATTAATTTATGGGATTGGGGTTTTGGTTTGGCTTTTTTTCTTTTTCCCTTTCCTTTTTGTTTATTTGAGGGTTTCATGATTTTTTTGTTCTTGGTGTTTTTTTTGGTTTTGGGTTTTTTAATTCACTGTCAAAGTACATTCATATTTTGGCTGCATTGGAGTTATAAGCAAAAGTTATTCCAGAAGATAGGAAGGTGGATGTCCTAAATACAGTTCGGGTTAGTTCCCTGTGCTCTCCAAATTCCATGTGTTGATTTAATGCATGTCATCACTTAATGTCTGCTGTGTACACAAGTGCTACATATCATCTGTTCTGTTCCCTGCCTGTGATAGGGAGGTAAAAGGTAACCCTCACGTGACTAATTTGTTACAAATAAATACACTAAAACTCAATTCCACAGTTGCTGCTGTGGGAGGAACCAGTGTTAGGCAGAAGACATTGAACAGGTTATGTAAAATTTGTATTTTGTCCATACTGTGCACTAGAAGACGTGTGGCCAAAAGAAGGAAAAGCGTTCCAAGGCTACCGCAGCGGAGAGACCTCATGAAACATACAGGCTGCTGAAGCGCCGCAATCTCATTGTAGAAGCTGTTCGAAACCTCCGGCTAATTGAAAGCTTGTTCACGTGAGTCCCTCTGAAAACAGTGTCCAGGGGGCCTGACGCATTTTGGTAGTAGAAGCACTACTTCAGCAAGCAATCTGTGTGCTTTTTCCAGTGGTGCTGTTTCTTGTCCCTGATGCAACTCTAATGTTGGACATGATGGCACATGAAAGGGGGGGGGGGGGGGGGGGCTACAGTTATACTGAATCTTAAAACAGCTGTTTGGAAGCAGTAACAGTTCTTTGCAGATAATTACACAAGTGAATTTTTATAGAGTGTATGTCTCATAAACAGAGATTGGAGAACTTTTGTCTCTGTTCACAATATGCTGGTGCTTGGGGCCACATAGTAAGATACAGCACTTCCCTGCTTGAGGATTCTGTCATCTGCGTAGGTTTTACCTCTGCATGGCTTCAAAAACTGTTTGTGTTTTATTCTGTCATGGACTGCAGAGGTTCATGATGTCAATCAGTCATTCAGTGATCACGAGGATTCTATCAGGGTCCTGAAAGTGTGCTTTTCTTTGCAGTTTTGAGTGGTACAGTTCTGTGTCTTCTCCTGACTTGCTTTGTCTGGATTAAAGATCCTTCCCTGAATTTTACAATGTTTTTCAGTCTTCTAAGATTCACCACCAAAGAGAAATCAAAATTCTGGTGGTCTCCTGGAGTCCCAGCTTCCAAATTGGCAGGAATTTAGTATAGGAATTATAGGTAAGAAATCATAGCCTTATTCTCCTCTGGTTTGAGAATTTTGAAACCATCTGTCACCTAGTTCAATTGCAGATGTTATAAATTTTTAGAGTGTTATAAAATTAGAGCCTTGTCTTCTGGCACCAGCCTCATCACCCATTGATCTAGTCTCATCCAAGCATGAGATGAGAAAATAGCTCAGCTCTCTGCTTTCCCTTTTAGTGCCGCCCACAGATAGGTCACAGGTTTCTTCAGCACTGATGAAGGTTCTGCCCCTCCCCAGTCTCTGTGAAGGAGATTTGCTGGGTCCTCACTCCAATTATGTTAGTTACCAGGATGTAGAAAAAAAAATGAAAACAAGCAATAAGAGAGTAGGGTGTGAGTGAGCTCCTGCAGACTGCTGCAAAGGAAGAAGTGAGCTGGTTTCAAGTGATTGGGTATGTATATCTGTATTGTGAATACATGTGTAATTTCTGAACTCTGGATGCCACTAAGTAAATTCTTTCTGCCTCAAGTTGAACTGAGCTCACAAATAGAAATATAAAGTGCATGTGTTTAATCACCACCTAAAAAAGCTGTAGCCTTTCCTAACCTTAGGGGGCCTGGATTTGTAATTACGCTATAGAAATAGATGGAGAAATCAGGCATCAAGAATCTGCTGTCATAAGAAGAGCAGTTCTTACCTAAAGAAGGAAGAGCTTGATTACAAAGAAACTACCACTGAAATTTAAAGCTAAGTTAGTAATTTTTTACAGAAAAAGGGAAAAGTGAGCCGTAGTTGCTACAAGTAGGGAAATACCCATTTTCCCCATATGCTCGTAGAAACTGCTCAAGCAGTTTGAAGCACTGCTGGACTTAAAATACAAGCTATTTTTTTGCATCTTTTAGACTTCAGAAGATGGTGATGGATCAAGAAAAGCAAGAAGGTGTCTCCACTAAATGTTGCAAAAAGTCTATCATACGACTGGTACAGAAGCTTGCACGAGAAGGGCTCCTCAAAGTCTATCGTACTACAGTCATTCAAGATGGCATAAGTAAAAAGGTGACTACACAAGCCCTGGAAGTAGCAGCAGCTTTTCTCACAACCTTCTGATTTATCAAAGTGGTTTTGGCCTTTTTACTGAAGTACATGGATGACTTCATTTTTTGTAGCAGAACCCACAGTCAGGCTGCCCAGAAGCTACATGTCCCAAGCTAAGCTAGTGTGAAAACCCGATTAGTGCTTTCAATTATTGTGCTGCAGATAATTGTGAGACCAAGGAATAGTCCACAGATCAAAGTCTCTGAATCTTGCTTCTGAGAGGTTCTGCTACTTATCAGTTATGCAATTCATGATTCTCTCCCTGCACTGTCAGGCTGCACCACAATTCTATTTAATCCCCTTTTGAAATCTAACAGCATATGAGAAATCCAGAAGTTGCCTTCTGAGTTGAGATTTATAAACATGATCTATTTTTTAAAAACAAAATTCACCGTTACTGAGGTTTGTAGAAGTAAAATGTCTGTAAATGTCAGTTGTAGAGCTGAGGCTTGTCATTGTAACGTTAGTGTGAAACCTTCATAAGCAGGCAGAGAATCTGTTGAAAATTACCTGATGCACAATTACTGTAGGGCATATATGAAATCCCATCTGAATTGCGTCTGCACTTTCAGCAACAATATGTATTAGTTTGGCCTTCTGATGTATGGCTTTTCATTTATTCCTTTCATTCTAATATTTGCAAATGAGGTGTTTGTTGCCCAAATATTCTAGATTTTAAAAATGAAAAAAATGAGGCTTTAGAGATGACATTAACAGTTTATTGCTACAGAGATCATGGTCTGGCCTCTTGCTTAATGCAAACTAGCAATGGGAGTTTTCATCCAAAAGTGTTTATATTCTGTGTTATTAAATCTTCATAGGATTACTTCACTGTGGCTACTGTTAATTAACTGTGCGTTAATCTCTGATAATTTATGCATCTGATTAAGAGCCAGTATCTTCATAAGTACCTGTTGTTTGTTTTCTGCTGCTCTGAACAGGCAGAGTTTGTTGTGCATCCTTCAGTAAGTCCTAATGATCCCCTTGTAAAAAGTGCCATTGAGCAGGTGCGTTTCCGAATCTCCAATTCAAGCACTGCAAACAGGCAAGTGGCAGCAATGGTTTGGATGGCTTTTGGGGAATTTGGCTTATCTAGGACATGCAAAAATATGCAGAAGAAATATACACAAAATTAGCAAAAGAAAAGAAAAAGCTGCTCTTTAGCAACAGAGGAATTGAAGCACAAAGATGAGGCAAGATGCTGAATATCTGCTGAAGTTGGGAAAGAAGAGGGATTGAACTCTGCTTAATTTTTACCCAAGTGCTGTCTGGTTTTAATGCAGGATTAAAGTTCCCCAGACCCCATCCCAGGACCAGGCCAATGAAGAAGGTCTGGGGCAAGAGGCAGTTCCTGATTCAGGAGAAACACAAGAAAACTCATGTAAAGCTGATAACAGTCGGGCAAGAAAAACTGATGACAAATTGGGTGTAACACAGCTAAAAAACTATCACCCAGTTACAGGTACAGCTAACTTCTTTTTTTCTGTCATCTTTCACTTTCCATTTTATTATTAGTAATCACTTGCAGATGTTGGGCTCTCCTAAGATACAAGTGGGGTTTTTTTTCTTTATTTATAAAAGAAATGCTGGGTTTACATTAAAGTAGTCTCACTACCCAGTGGTTTTTTAGTGGCTTATTTTTTCACAGTTACAAACTAGGATATTTTTATTCGCTACTACTTGTAATTAATATTTGTAACTTGCACACTTTCAACTGCTCATCTTTCCTTCCAGTTTCTTCACATCAGTTTTACAGAGGTAGCTGTTTCTCCTATTGTAATCCTCTCTTTAATTTCTGTTTGGTACTTCGTCTTCCCTCACAGTTCCAGGACTTGGGCGTTCTCTTGGCTTTCTTCCCAAAATGCCCCGTTTAAAAATGGTCCACATGTTTCTCTGGTACTTAATTTATGGACACCCTTCAAATAGAACACCCCAAAAAGGAGACAGTGATGGAGAGAAAAAAGGCAGCAAAGAAGGGCTGGATGGGAATGCAGCTGTAGTTGAAGCGCAACCAGATGGGACCTTAGAAATTATGACAACTGTGGTGAATCCTGAAATCTCAGCACAGGAGACCGAAGTGGAGCTGTCTAATCAAACAGGTAAGAAGTGGCACATCTTGACTTGAGCCATGCCAAAGTCTGTAGCAAACACTGAAAAAAGGTAAAAGTGTACTTCAGAAAAGATTGAAAATCAATGGTTTAGATAATTTTCAGGTTGTTGTAGATTTTCAGAATAATATGTTCTGCTCGAACACTCACAGTGTACTGTGAGTTTTAACTGTTAATGCAACTGTAACAGGTTTGTCCTGTCTGAATCTAAGCCAGTCAGTCTTCTTGCTCCTAGTGTATGTGGATGATGAATCATGGATGCGCAATGTCCCTCCTCTCCCGCTTCACAGAGAGTTTGGATTTGGATGGGCTCTTGTCAGTGACATTCTCCTCTGTTTGCCTCTCTCTGTCTTTGTTCAGATAGTACAAGTCAGCTACAAGGTATAGTACTTTTTAGTTTCATGTTCGTTTTACTTTGAAGTCGGATGATGTCAACTATATACCTATAAGCAGTAGCAGCTATCCTCTTTTTTTGTTTTAAAAGCTAGCCATTGGAGTTCACTTAGTTCTTGATAGTCTTTCACAGAAAAGTTAGTTGCTTTTATAGCCACACTGAAAAAAATGTATAGCCCTGTAATACTGCAAATTCTTAAGCTAATATTTATCAAAGAGCTTTTTATAATCTCACTGAATCTTCTGCCTCGTTGATTAACCAGAATAATGTTTAAGCATTTTACAAAAGCAGTAACATTTGCTTAGAAATTATTTCAGTAGACAGCTCTGGTAGCAAAACTTGATACTTAAAAGGATAGTTATATTTTGCATTTTTATTAACTTCTGAAATAATTCTAGGTGGATGGTCTGGAAGAGTTTTTAAATGACCCCCTAAAAAAGCACATTCTAATTCGATGTCTTCCAAGGTCAGTCCGACAGCAGCTTCTTTACAAAAGGTAAGCAGATGAGTCAAAGTACATGGCTCTAGGGATGAAACAACAGTGCTTGACTGTTTTATCAGTTATTTCCTGTTTGTGTCAAAGCGAACTTTGTTACTTAAGACAAGGATCATCAATCTGCTAAGGAGAGTGTGCCAAATTGTGTTTTTCTCTTCCAAATTGAAGGTAATAAGAAACTAAACCAATATTCATGCATGCTGTCAGGCAGTGTTTGAGAGCTGGGAGGTTCTGTCCTTCATAACTCATCAGCAGGATGTTACTCTGTATAAAACACACTCCTGACTGCTGCTAAATTAAGAATTTAATAGAGTCTAAATGTTGCTGCCCTTCATAAATCTTTCAGAAGATGCCACATTTCCCAGTTCCAGCCTCTCATACATACCATTCAATTTCTACTCAGGCTTTCAGGGGCACATCTGCCATTGTTTGCCATTCCTCATTTAGGAGATTTAAAAATTGAGATTGGACTGAAGATAGGAAGGGAAATCAACATTAGAGGAAAGTGATTCCAACCCTAACTCTTCTATGATTCTATGATTTGAGTATGTGGAATTAACAGTACTGTGTTAGCTTCCCCAGGAAGTCATTGCAAACGGTAGGGATTCGGGTGTCTGGAGGTTTATACAACACTTTGCAAACCTGCAAACATGTCATTGCTAAGTGAATAGTGCTAGACAGTATCAAGACTTGTGGTTAGCTCAGGTTTGCGATTTCTAACCTATTACTTGCTAAATCTTAGTAACAAGGAAACTAGATTTATGGTATTTTCTGAAATCTGTGGGCTACGTCTGATGTGTTTGTGAAAAATGGTGTGGCATCTAACCAGGTTGTCTCCCCTCTCCGCCCCCAGTAGAAGTTCTAACTCAGCCAAACTTGCTTCACTGTTTCTAGGCTTGTCAAATGACCTGACCCCCAGAGAAAACTCCTGGCAAAATATCATTCTCATTAACTGCCCAGAAAACCTTAGGTCTTTGTGAAGTTAAATGTGGGCAAAGCAGATTTTTTAGCAAACTTTCTCAGAAACTAGACCTTGAAGAAGTTTTCATGCAGGTTCCAGAATTTTGCTATGTAAGTAGAGATGTAGCATGGGAAATGTTGCAGTTTTTGTTCTGCCAAAGCTATAAGCAACTGAAAGCAGTTTCTTGGAGCAGTAAATCTAAACAACCTTAACTACAAGAATCATTGCCTATTTCTTTATATGTACACATGTGAAGGCTTATCAGCCCATATTTAGCAGTCATGTTTTCTTACTCATGTCTTCATAACACTAAATTGTCTGCAGATCTGCTGGTGTTCTGACCTGGTTTAACTCATTTTTATGTGGTACTTCTGGCTAATTTTGCTCACTGCTAGCAAAATTTTAGTCAGTATTTGTCTAAAACAACTGTGCTTGTGATTTGAGGAGATTTTTGACCTTTGGGATATTACATGTTTTCCACAGGCTGATGATTAAAACAAAAATACCACTTGAGACATTCTGAAACTCAGTATTTAAAAAAAGCAGTGGTTTCCTGAAACTTATGGTTGCTGCAAGGAAATGGCATTTTTTCTGGTATCGTTTTTAACGTTTTCATGAGTGCTGATTGTAATACCTCTAATATTGTTGTAGGAGGTACATCTTTTCAGTGGTAGAAAACCTTCAAAGATTATGTTATATGGGACTGATACAGTTTGGCCCAACAGAGAAGTTTCAAGACAAAGACCAGGTAATTTTACTTCTTTTTATTTTCATTTATTTTTTAATTTAGCCACTGTTCTTCATGATTTTTGTCCAATGAAATAAATACCAGATTTGGGGGTTGTAATTACCTTAAATACTGAAGTAAAATTCCCAGTGTTTCAGATGTATACGCAAACCTGAAGATCCAAATGATATATTGCAAGTTGTGCAGATAATTTTTACTTCCTTCTCTGGAAAGGCACTACTCAAGTGTATAACACTGAACACTGTGCACAATAATGGTTGAGGAGGTTCCAGACTGGCAGCACTTTATGAAAAATGAGCATGCCACATTCTTTTTCATCAAGGCATTAGGCACTGGGGGGTGACACAGAATAAAGTCAATGATCAGAGTAAAACAAGTACGTTTGTACGCATCTTTTTGTAAATAGAGAGCATGTGCAAGGATAAAGAAGTAAGGACAAAGTTTATGAGGATGAAATAGATAATTAGGTCCCAGAGCACACCTATTCAAATGCTGAATGAGAGCTTGTAGGAAATAGTCACTCTCTTGGAAACTGGAAATATCCTGTGCACAAGGACGAAAAGAAAGTGTTCAAATCTAGAAACAATATACCTGGATTGCTGGCAAGGATTGTTTGGGAGTACAGTGCAATAGATGGGGAAGGGTGTGTCTTCTGTCAGAGTACTGGCTCAAAACAGCAAAGACTGAGAAAATGCTAAACAGTTCTAAACAACATTAAGTTGTGTGTCCTGTGTATTAGGAAATTCTGCTGATTATTTATTTTTTACCTACCAGCCTGAAATATACTGTATTTGACAGGTCTTTGTGTATCTGAAGAAAAATGCTGTGATTGTTGATACCACTATCTGTGACCCCCACTATAACCTGGCCCAAAGTAACCGCCCATTTGAGAGGCGCTTGTATGTTCTGAATACCATGCAGGATGTGGAAAACTTCTGGTTTGATTTGCAGTGTGTCTGCCTTAATACGCCACTGGGTATGGTATAAATGTACCTTCTTAGTACCTTTACTGTTTATTCTGTTCATACTACATTCTTCCTCCTTTCCTAAAACTTGACCCAGGCTCTGTTTTGTCATTTCAAATGTTTTAATCTCTTGGCTGGTACACCCAAAATAGCTTTAGAAAGGGTACCAGCTTCCCATTAGTTCTGCCCTGAATACAATTTTGGACAAGGTAGTGCTTTCTAATGGAAGCTAACTGGAGCACCATTAGCCTCTATCGAGAAGTGGTAAAAATGTTAGTATTGTCTGGGAGCAGTAGTTTGCCACAGCAGGGTGGACTGAGAATGGCTTGAAGTCTGACTTCTCATGCTGATAGTCAAAACTATTTGTATGCCTAGGAGTTATCCGCTGTCCTCGTTCAAAGAGAAGTAACCTTCAAGGAGAGGAGACTGCACTAGATGTAGAAATGGAACAAGAGTCAGCAGTGGATAAACACAATCTTGAACGCAAATGTGCAATGTTGGAGTATACCACGTACGTCATCTTCATCCTTGCTTTGTTTCTTGAATAGAATGGGCAAAAAAATCTGTTCTGGTTTTGAGGATGTTGCCTAGTAGCAGAAGCAGTTAAGACTTTAGCATTTCAGTTGGGTGTTGTGGGGTTTTTCTTCGTAATTCAGAGGCTATCTGATTAAAAAGACATGTAGTTATATGTCACATTTACAAGTAACTTGTCCAGTGAGCAGGTTTTTATACTAGAGGAATGGGAAAAACAGATTCATATTTCCTTCCTAAGTAGTACAAATGTGTGTTGTTGGAGAAGGCAAAGTTAAGAGGGGATAAGTGCTCCCTAAGTACAGTTAATGCAAGGGAAAAAATTAAAGATTCTCTGTTTCTGTGCTTTATATCATGGTATCACAAGTAGCCTGTAGCTTCAATAGCTACTCAGTGTTAGTTGGAATTCTGTCCTTCTGTGTTGCAGTTAGCTGCATATTGTTTACAGATTGATTTCTAATTTGGGGTTGGTGTACACTGCTAAAATCTGTAAGTGATCTCTGGAGCACTTCATCTCCTGCCTAGTCACAACGGGAATACTTGAGAGGACGGAGTGCTTGTGACCTGTGACAGCTGTGCAGAATGACAGTTAAAATTTTTTATATTGTATTGTGCACTGTGGTTTAGTTTTGTCAATATTCAGTTTTTCTAAACAGCCTGTTTAAAAGTATTTTCAGTTAGTTCAGTGTTAGAGGTAGACACATCAAGTTATCTTAAAAAAGTTAATGGAGTTGAAGGAACCCGATTCCACTGATCCTTGCTGACAGAAAAAAAAAACCTGTTCAGTCCACTTGTCAGCTTTTGCATGTGGTCTGCATTGTATGGTAAGAAATCCTTTATATTGGATATCTTGTGTTTACTTGCAGTTAGGCTGGAGATGATTGCAACATCTTTGAGGTCAAGAAACACGTTTTGGATATTTTTTTCATGGTAGCTTTCAAGAAAATCTTTCAGGAAGTGAAACAGGATTTCAGAAATACTCTTTGGTGTTATTACTGGATTGTCAGAGCTGTCATAACTGCTCCATAATGCAGAGCTCATTCATAGTTTGAGTATTTATTTTTTTTAGGAGATAAGTTTTTCTCCATGGTTCTTTGCAAAATATCATATTTATAAAGAAAAAAAATCTTTTTCTTCCATTCTGCACTCTAACACCACATTAATTATTAAATAGCTCATTTAGGAAAGGTACCAGTTCATCCATTCCATGCCAGTCATTGTTAGTTTTGTCCTCCTTCTGGGGGGAGAATTGCAGTGCATTGTTTTTTTTCTTGTATATGTATTTAAATAAGCTTTAATGTATTTTGTTGGTGAACTGGAGAGACCAGTGCTTGACAGTCAGTGTGAAAAAGGGTTATGATTGCCTTTAGTTCCTGTGGGAGATTTTCCCCACACTTTTCAGTTTTCCATCTGAGTTGGTATTTTCTCTAGTTTTATGGCAAGAACAGCATTGGGAACAGTTTAATGTGGCCATTGGAACTTACTTAACAGTAATGAAGTTGCTCTGGGTTTAATGTTGAAACTGAGAGCTCAGTCATTAAATATCAGGGATTAAAACTTGATGAAAAAGTACTGTTGTCATGCTCCTTCTGGAGCAGGGTTAAGGAAAGGAACAACTCTCAACCCTGTCTAAACTGGGAGGGCAACAGTTGAGTTCTGCACACACATCACTTAAGAGCAGCTGAGAAAGCACTCACTGCAAAAGAATTACTATGTATTTTGTTATTCTTTCTGCTAGAGGCAGCCGAGAGGTGGTTGATGATGGAACTATCCCTGGAGATGGCTTAGGAGCTGCAGGTCTGGATTCCAGCTTTTATGGGCATCTAAAACGCAATTGGATCTGGACAAGCTACATCATCAATAAGACTAGGAAGGTGGGTATTGTAAAATTTATACGCTGTAATGACTTTTCCAAACTCTAATATTCTCAAGGTTGAGATACTGATAGCAAAATCACTGCTTGCATGCTTTCAGCCATGCGTCTTTCATCACTGGAAAGAAATTAATGCCAAAGGTGGTAAATCTTGGTGCTTAAATGAGTGAAAGAGTTGGATGTAAATTTAATCTGAACTGAATTCGATAGTACATTTGACCAAAGGAGAAATAATTTAGCAAGCAATTTTCATTACTTGAAATGTAGAAGTGTTAAACAAAAACTGAAAAATCCAGAACAAGGAAATACACACACAAAATAAATATTACTAGGAAGTCCAGCACAGGCAAGTAAGAATGGCCATGCCCATTCTGGCCAATGTCCTGTCTCTAGCTGCCGATACAAGATTCGTAGGGAGGGTGTAAGAGCAAGCGAGTTGTGTAGAGATATTCCTCAGAATATTCTCCCAGCTGTCTGCAAGCTTGCCTCAAGGCCATTCTAAACCGGGGGGTGATGTTTCAGAGCAGTTAATAGCTTTTTCTTCTAGCGTTAATTTCTGTGATTGGTTTTTTGGACTCATGTAAATCTGTAGTATCCACAACCTCATGCAGCGAAGTGTTTCAAAGTCCTATTATGTGTCATTGTAGCCAGGGATATTTTCCTTTATACTGAAGATTTATTTATGACACAACTCAAAGGATATCATGTATAGAGTTGTTAAAAACAGTGCATTCTTTCCAAATATCACCTTTTATAAAGCTGTGTTGTCTTAGGAAACTGCCATTTCTGAAAATGGACTGACACTGAGACTCCAAACCTTCTTAACAAAGCACCCCCTCTCACTCAGTACTGGAGGTAAGGTGGTGGTGGTGCTGGTGGTGGGGTCTGTAACTGTATTATAGCTGTTGCTGTCTTTGTCAAACTCAGTCTGGAGGATGTGGGTTATTCCTGTCTCCTTATGGTAATCTAGGATACTTCTGGGGCAGTAAAATGGGTAAATAATTTCCTTCCCTATTTCTGGATATATGGAACAATAATTTTTTAGCCAATATTGATGACAGGAGTTGTTCCTGTCTCCTTACAATGATCTAGGATGCTTCTGGGGCAGCAAACTAGAGATGTAAATAACTTTCTGTAGAACAGTAATTTTTATCCTTTGTAATTTCTGATGTACAGTGTGCAGAAATTCTAGAGGGACCAATGTTTTGTACAACTGGACACTGTTGCAAGCTAAGGAAGAGGAAATGCTCCAGGTTGAATATAAAACATGAACTCAGGCTTTGTAATTACTTGATGATTCCTCATTTATGTGGGATTTTATTCTGTGATTTGCTGAGAAGTGGCATGAAATGACATGACTAACAAAGGGCAAGTCTGAGAGGGCATGGGTGTTTTAATATACTAAAACATTGGCATTAGCTCTTTATACCTTAGTATTATAGAATGCTATAGCTGTAAAGCAAATTTAGTACTGTAAATATATGTAATTTTAGGTAACAAAATTAATATTTTGGGAGAAGCAAAGGTGGGAGCTGAGTCACTTGTCCAGAAAGATGAAAATATTGAAATAAGTAAAGAACCAGCCCAGGATCGAACCAAACGAGTGAGAGGTGGAAAAAGCCAAAAGAGGAAGAGGCTTCGGAAAGATGCTGGAAAGAAGACAAAGAGGAAAAAGAAGGGTAAGTAACACATTAGGAAAAAGAAGCATTCTTTTTGATGCATAGGCCTGCTGTGAGTTGCTTTAGAAAAGCTGATGTAACTGTCACATGGTGTGGGAACTTCATGGCCATATCTTTGGCTTGCCTCTTTCAGTGAAGAGGTTGAGATGTCCTGGGGCTGTACACTAGCTCTGGAGAAAAGCAACAGTGCTGTGACTGTTACCTGTGTGTGAATCATGATTGCACTACTGAACTGTACAGACTAAACAAATTCCAGTTGTGTCTGCACCAGATCAACTCACTGCAGTTCACCATCAGCTTTTGGTAGCTGGCTTAAAGGTTCTTCATGGTATGGTACTCTAGGTTGTCAGTTTCCTAACTGAAGTGATGTTTTTCCAGGGAGGGGTATTAATGCATTTTACTTCCTGAACTGCTACTTTTCTTCTCTGCTTTTGTCTTTCATTCCTAACAAACTCCAGTTGGTGCTGATACTGGCTGTGATAGGAGTTTGAATTAATCCAAACATGTAATGCTGAGATAACGGTCTTTTTTGTCTTTTTTTTTTCTCCCTCTGATTTGTTAGCAGAGGATTCTGTAGAAAAAAGCAAAAGACTCCGCTACCATGATGAAGCTGACCAGAGTGCCCTGCTGAGAATGACACGTCTGCGTGTCACCTGGACAGTGCAAGAAGACAGTCTGCTCATGCTGTGCCGAATTGCTAGTCACGTGCTAAATGCAAAGGTATTTAATAGACCCATTAAGTAGTGGTCCTACATAGTGAGCACACATATCATCAGTCCTTGAAATTCATCCTGGTAACCATCATGTGTGAACATTAAAAGCTGAAGTTTAACTCCAAACACATTTGTTCTTCACACAGGTAAAAGGGGCCTTTGTGCCATGGCAAGTCGTTAGGGATATCATGCATGCCAGCTTTGAGGAGTCCCTCGATAAAACTTCTCATTCTGTTGGACGAAGAGCTCGTTATATTGTCAGGAATCCTCAGACCTATCTTAATTACAAGTAAGAAGGTTTCTGTCTGTGTTTTAGGCTAAATTCTCCTGAACTTAAGTGAAGGGATACAGTCGTGTGGTTTTGTCTTGTTTCATGTGACTTACAAATTTCAACTGTTTTTTGACCCAGTGCTATCAAATCTGTATTGAATTGGGAAAATTTCAACTATGTAAAACACCTGTACAATTGTGTCTGTTGCAGAGTTTGCCTTGCTGAGGTTTACCAAGATAAAGCCCTCATTGAAGATTTCATGAATAGAGAAAATAATTATGAAGATCCACAGGTAAGAGGGAAGTATTCTAAAAGGTCATAGAGCACTTTATGCTGTTTGGGTTACTGAATGCCTGCACTGTTTCAATTGCTGTGATTTAATCCCTTCTCTCTCCCTTGTACGCTTAGCCATTTTAAAAATAGCATCATTATAAAAATGCATCATCATTGCTGGTTGGAGAGTAAAGTGGACACAGGCAGCTTTCCAAAGGCACATAAACAGCACTGCTGTGCAACAAAAATGTTTCTCAGTATGCTTGTTTATAAACATCCATGACTGAGCATCTGTATGCACTGACTGGGTTTGGGGGGGGGTTATGCTCTCAGCCTCCTTGTTATCTGAGCAAGAAAGCATTTTTGCTCTGTGATGTCTTATTTTTTATTCTGCTTGCATGTCTAAATACTGCCTTAGCTTCTGTGGATGAGTGCGGGAAGGTAAGCAAATTTAATGAGGGAAGTGTTGATTCGATCAGTCAAAAGATTTTATTTAAATTTTCAGCTTTTTCATGGCTTAAATCAAGCACAATTTCAAATTGAAAAGTTGTTTATGCTGTCAGTGCAAACTGAATTTCAAGACTTTTTCTGAACTGGGATCGCATCACAGCAAGACTTTGTTTTTATCCTGGAATGCCAATTAGTATCGTCAGCAAACCCCAGTCAGTTCTTTTATTAGATTTGTGTTTGTTTAAATTAAGAGTAGTTGTTCACTGATGAGACATTGCTAAAATAAATGCATGTGTCACTAGCCCCAAAGTCTGTCTTTGCAAGCAAATAAAAACTTGTTCCTAGAGAGTTCCTCTTCTGTCACAGGTGTTCTCTGACCTATGATTGTACAGAAAGACTTAATGGAGAATGCGATAAAGCCTGAAGGTTATAAAGAGAATAAAAAAGACTTAAGCAGAAGCTTAAACAAAGACCTACCAAGAGATCTTATGCTGTTAATTTGGTATAATTGTTTTCAGAACATATGTTTATGGTGGGTTGCTTGTAGTTGTGAGCGTGATTACAGACAGAACCTGCAACTGTTGAATGAATCAGCTAACACGACCTCCACGGGGCTTTTTTGATGCATTCACTTGTCTGTTGCATAGTTTCTGACATGATAATTCAAAACGGGACACTTCTACTAGAATATTCCGTGAATGCTTTGAAGGTAAAGGGTCTTTTCGCATTCTGAGAAACTGAGGCTGGTAACATTTCTATCTCTTCTTTTCTAAGGTTTGTGCAAAGGAGTTTAAAGAATTTGTGGAAAGACTGAAAGAGAAATTCAGTTCAACTCTGGGGAATCCCAAACTTGAGATTCCTGATACTTTGCAGGAACTCTTTTCCAGGTAAGTTTCAGTAAATAAAAGAAGCAATGTTTCCTCCAAATCCATACTTCCTAAATAATATAACTGATTTTAGTTATTTGCATAAACTTGTTTATTTTAAACCATTCCTGTTTTGCTAAATAAGACTTTTAAACCAGAAATTCACAGTGTCAGATTTCATAAATTGTCAAGTCCTCAACTTTGCTATTAGAGATGTTGCTACTCAGGTACATTTTAATTGTAGGATCATAGAATGGTTTGGGTTGGAAGGGACCTTAAGGATCATATAGTTCCAACACCCCTGCCATGGGCAGGGGTACCTTCGACTAGACCAGGTTGCTCAAAACCCCATGAAAGAGGTTTCCCTTTACAGTCTTCCAGATTAACTGGACCCATTTTACATCACAATTTATAGCTGGTTGCTCAGCTAAACCATCTCAGTGCTGCTAAAATTGTTGATACCAAAGAGCTCTCAGCTTTGTATAGCATTCTCCAGCTCAGATTGTCAAACTTTTTCATGTTGAATAACACTTGGAGAGTGTGAAAATCTGGGTCTCGCACCATTTTATGATAACAAATGTAGCACCTTTGTACATTTTCTTACTTTGGGAAGAGCTATATGTTACAGCAAAAGTGCTGCTGATGGAAGTCCCAAACCTCAATAGAATAGTAAATCTAGACAGTTCTGTACAGTCTCCTGACCATGTGTTTTATCTCCTTGTCAACAGATAATTTAGAGCAGTGAAGGAGATTGATCTGGTCAGTTGTTTTAGTTTTTGACACTTGTGCTGAGGGCTGCTGGAGCAGGTAGTGCCCATGCGCTGTTTCAACATTTGCTGTATTAGCAGCTGCATTCATCAGTCTCTTGGTTACACAGTTGATATAAAATCACAGAATGTTGCTTTTATTTCAGTGTTTTCCTTTCCCTTCCCTTAACTAGATTTCGAGTTTTGGCAATTGGAGAAGACACAGCTCAAAACACAAAAGAGGATAGTCTAAGCAGGTGAGTTGCAGTAACACCATTTTTTCCCATTTAGGACTGCAAGGGCATGTCAACCCTTGCATCTGTGAAAGTCATATATACAATTTTTAATTCAGTGTGGCTTTTATCTGTTTGTTGCAGTGTATAAATTTGTTAACAGAAAAATACTTCCACAAGGCTGTAGGGACCTCTGACATAGATTATAGATTTGATGAATGAAATGACAGCAATAGTGACCTTCCCAGAATGGTGACTGGGCATTATTTTAGATGTGCTTGGAGTATAAAATCGCCTCGCTTTACCTTTCTGCTGTGTTATTCTGCAAACGCTTCTTTGGGAAGAGCTGTATGTTACCACAGACCACCACTCAAAATGGTGGTCTGTTATCATTAGGACAACAGTGTATGTTTCCTATGTGGGTGCTGTACCTTAAGAGGAGAAGAGAGAACTCTGGACTGATCCAGAAATTCAGGGTGGAAGATAAGGGAAAATGTAACAGGGTCCTTCAAGTGAATGATCCTCAGCTATAGTGACCTCTTAGTGACATCTATTTCAGAAGTGGGTGATTGAATTTGTATACTTTTGTGCTAGTTCAGTAATTCTCTACCTCATGCTCAGAAATCACCATGAATAAACTTTTTTTTCCTTCCTTTTTTCTTCCAGTGTCTATGATATTCATTTTCTAGTGCTACAGAACCTGATTCAGAGCACACTGGCACTCTCAGATAACCAGATGAAATCTTGCCAGTCATTTCAGGTACAGTATCTGGACCAAAACTTTACCAATCATAGAATCCTTTAAGTTGGAAAAGACCTTTAAGATCATTGAATCCAACTGTAAACCTAACACTGCCAAGTCCACCACCAAACCATGTTTCTAAGTGCTGTCTATATGTCATCATACAACCCTAAAAAGTTTCACCTTCCTTGCTATATGCCTTTTACAAATGGGAGCAAAGAAACCCAGAAACTTAGATTTGTATCTGTTCTGTGGGAATTACCCTTTTCTGCTTTTAGGAAATTATATATTCTAGGCAGATTTTCAGTATGTTGCTTTTCTCTCTGAGGATAAGATTGCAAGATGTGAGATTGAAGCAATCTTCACAAAATATATGAAATAAATTTTATATCCCTTCCATTGGGTAAAACTGTATCATGATTTAGTGCCCACTTAGGTAGTTGGAATTATGCTCTGGAGGAGATAGCACAAAGACAGTCATAGTATCCAGCTGACATTGGTGTTGGGAGCCTTTCCTTCAGTGCTGGGGATCACAAAAATATAAAATCTATCAGGTACTTAAAATATATAGAAGTTCAAAGGGAGTTTAATATCTCATCAGCAGGCAAGCATGGAGCCTAGAATCTACCAAAATGTGGTGCAGATGAGCATTTTTACATAAATAATTCTAGTGGGAGCCTGATCCCATTTTGAATATCAAGTGTTCTATAGTATTTAGGTAATTTAATTAGCATTTACTGTGGAAAGCCTGGAAGCCCATAAAAGGAATAGAATAATGTAGTTAAGTAAATTTATATGCATCATTTACATTCCAGCTAGTAGCTTCATATTCATTTAGCTAATGTAACCCTCAAGTAGGTGAGTCTGACAGTGGATTGGGAGCTAACTGCCTTCTGCATTGAACGGGGGGGGGTTCCAGACGTTTCGGCTGTACCGGGAGTACCGGGACGACGTTCTCGTGAAGGCTTTCCTGGAGTGTCAGAAGAGAAGCTTGGTCAATCGCCGTCGAGTAAACCACACACTAGGACCAAAGAAGAGCCGGGCTTTGCCTTTTGTACCCATGTCCTACCAGCTGTCTCAGAGTTACTATAGGTGAGTGTCAGAAAGGTTACTGTTCATGTTTGAGCAAATAAAAGAACCTACCTGGGCATGCTGGGCAGGGAGGAGAGAATACACATGAAGTATCTAGAGAAAAGAACCTGACCATCACAGCTGAGGCTGAAGCGATGAAGGTAACATCTATGCATGTGTGTTAGCCCCTTATTTGGTTAGCAATTAGGGCTGTACAGGGAATAGAGCCAAGTTTGCTGGGCAAGCCTTTACAAACACATGCAGAGGATGGGAAGGGTGGCACCAAAACCTAGATGTGGTGGAAAGATTTCTTTAGCACTCTTGTCATTCCAATGGTTGCTTGCTTTTCCTCTTCAGTTAGTTTGTGCCGCACTGTACCTGGATGTCAGGAGTAGGGGAGGAGAGTTTAATTGTAATGTGTCACCTTCTGCTTGAGCAGTGAACATCTTTGCTTTATATTTGTTATGTAGTACCTGACCTTAAATACCTAATGTTCTGGAACTAGCAAAAAGACATTGAAAGTAGATGTAGGAGGTACTCATTCACCATCTCTAGCATGGAAATTCAACCGTTTGGCTGCTGTATATTACCATGGGTCTAAAATTCATATACAGTAAGAACAGATTGTGAAGGGTTTGTGCTTCATTGAATTTGTCTTTTTGTCCAGAGTTTTTACGTGGCGGTTTCCTAGCACAATTTGTACAGAGTCCTTTCAGTTTCTGGAGAAGCTCAAGGATGCTGAAAAATCAGACCAGCCAGATAACTTCTCATTTAAAGATCCAGAAAACGAGGCATCAGAAGACATGACAGCATTTCCTATGGATGGACCTGGTGGCCAGTGTGTAGCGATGCTTTCCTTATTTTCCCTGGGACTTGTATCTGTGAATGTGAGAATTCCAGAGCAGATAGTTGTGGTGGACAGCACTATGGTGGAAAACGAAGTGATAAAAAGGTAAACACTGTTACTTCTATTAGCAAATACGGTTTGGAGGTAACTTGAATGGAACTGGACTGAAATTAGCATTTTCTGCACAGTATTGTGGCATGTTTTACTGTGATATAGTTTAAATTATTATTTCTGAGGAAGCATTCTGAAGACTTCCTGGCGCGTCAGTCAGTGTCTGCCATTACAGCCTTGGACTGTGTTTGTCTTCACGTGTGTGACGTTTGTTTGCTAGGCAGTGCATTGCCTCCACAGCTAATGTGGAAAGGAGAGCAGTGTGTCTTAGATGAGCATCTTCATTAGCATTATACCTTCCCATTTCAACAACTAAGAAGAATTTTTAACAAGGCTTCAGCTTTACCAGTGAAACCTCTCTCCACAATAGTGGTTCTATTTTGTCTCCTCTTTGATTATATATATTATTTTTTCCTAAAGCCCCCAGTAATTGCATACCACTGAAATGCAAACTTTCCCTCGGCAGTGTAACCCTGTGAATAATTGTTCTTACAGTCATTCTGTATTTTCTTAGACTGCAACTAAAATATTTTGCTGCAGTTTAACCTGTTGCTTCTGTTGTATGTATACATGGAAAATATTTTGTTCTCTCTTTAGAGCAGCTTATTACCTACTTGAAGATTGTTATCATAATCCTCCAAAATATGCAGTTCTTTAAGCGGTCTCAGTTCCTTTACTTGTATTTTTGTGTGTTATGATTCATGTTATGCAGACCTCTTTCTCATTATTTTCCTCTGCACTGAACTGTGTCGAAAAACAAATGCCATGTTCTTGCTGGCAGATGTGTGTTCATTACATCATGTTACATAGGTAATATGCCTGATAACACATCCCACAATGATGAATGGCCGTGGTCTTGCCAAACAAAAAACTCCAAACAAACAAAAAAAGAAACAGATTATGATTCCTGTGATTCACTCTAACAAGTTTCTTTTCCTTTGTCTAGGTAATTGCTTCCTCTTAGTGTGGGACAGGTGCATAGTACTCTAATATTAATAACATGCATTTGCCTGTACAAAATTGCTTCCTCTTCTTTTCTAGACTATTTCTCCACTTGTTGGAAGTGTTCTGAATGCATATCCTATCTTCTGATGCACTTGAAGTCTCTCCAGTTAGGTGATCCTATGCAGGATTATTGAGCTATTTTATCACCCAGCTCATTAGCAAAAATACACTGAACCCTGGAGTAGTCCCATTTCTGAGCAACAGGCATCTGAATCTTTTCTAAACTATTTGTTCTACATTACATGTTCCCTTTTGGTTTTAAATATATTTTAAGGTCTAAATCATCTTGGAAAAGGTTAGAAGGAACCGCTGGCTGTTTATCTCATAAGCTGCTTAAAGCAGAGGCAACTTCAGAATTAGATCAGGTTATTTGGAGCCTTCACCTTTATCCGTAATGGTTTTTGTCATGTCCTGAAAACAAACAGTGTTGGTTTGTTTCTGGAAAATCTGTCCTGGCTGCTGCTACTATTCTTTCTTTATGTTGAGGCTGTCTACAGTTTGTTTTGTATTAATGTTTTGGTTGGTTGTTTTTTGGGTTGTTTTTTTCCTCCCTTCCTTTTTTAAAGTGACTGAAGTCTTTGGTCTGTAATTCTTTCTTCTTTTCTCCCTTAAACTGTCTGCCCTATACTGCAGTATTCCTTATAGTCTCAGCCTTTGTGCTCTGACAGATGTTCCCTCCTGATGAAATATCTGCTGAACCAAAGATTTCAGCACTGTAAGCTGAGATAATTTCAACATGTTTGCAAAAAGAGAGCATTTCCTTTTCCAGGGACCTTTAGTGTATTTTCTTTTCCTATAATTACTTGTTCTCAGCACTTTAAATCAGGCTGCTATGGACATACCCACAGCTGCTCATAACTACAAACCAGAATGCAGAACAGCAGGTGTTCTTGCTCTGCTCAGGATAATGAGTCACTTTCTTATTTTGGAATTAAAAAAGCAATAACCAAACAAAACATCTCTCTTTGCTGTAGTTTGGGAAAAGAAGGACTTGACGATGATGACGACGATGATGATGACTTAGATGACACCTCTGGAGGCAAACGGAGAATTGAAGTAAAAGCTCGTCAAGCATCTCATACCAATTACTTACTGATGAGAGGCTACTATGCCCCTGGAATTGTTAGCACACGCAATCTGAGTCCCAGCGACAATATAGTGGTTAATTCCTGCCAGGTGAAGGTTAAACTGCGATGTACACCAGTTCCGGGAAGACTCAGCTCTTCAGGTTAGTTTCTCTGTGGCCTGATTTGCACAGAAGTAGGTTTGAGCAGGAAAGACAGTAAACTCAACAGCCGAGGAACCAATTTGAACAAAACCTCTTAAGAGGGACATTTTGTTTGTCATTAATGTGCAGTTTGCCTGTAATACTTTCTCTCCTCACATGAAACAGGTAGTTGACTTCTGCAAACACCTTTTCCTTCTAACAGGTCCTTGCCTGTATTTCATATTGAGTGAAACTTAATCCAAAGAGGAAGTCTGTCCTCTACTTTGTTACCCCTTCTCCAGGAGGTTTTTTCAGTCCCTTCTGCAACTTAGAATAGTTGCAGAATTGTATGACATATTATGTCACACCGAGCCTTTCCCTTGTATAAAGAGAAAAGAAGACCTTTCAGAGCTCTTTGAATGGCAATTCACATTTACTTATCCCATGTAGCTCTCTGAAATACTGGTTTCCAATCTCTGGCCTTTTCCCTACAGTACTTTAAACATTTTGATCATAGTTAAAGCTTGAATATTTGCAATTTATCAGCACTCCCCTTCTCAAAGTGTATCTTCCTTTCAATTCTAATGCAAATATATCCAGGAAAACCTTTACTTGTTTAGCTGTTTGGTTGGAAGGTCTAGTGTTGTCCCTGCCTGTTGCTGTTGTGGTAGAGGTAAAATAGCAATTCTTTTTCATATCTCTGCTGCCACACATGCCCTCCAGGTCTGTTAAGCTGACAGCTCATTACAGTTGTTCTCAGTTTAACTTGGCTGTCAAAGGAGCGCAGCGGGCACATGGGTGTCCCAAAGGCATGATGTAAAGGCAGCCTGCAGATGAAAGGGAGGGGAGCAGGTAAGAACAGTGCCAAAGCTACCCTCTAATCATCCAGGACTGGAAAAAGGTGTTACGCTGCTTCAGCTTCTAAATACTCTGCACAGTGGGGGTGGGTTTGCACAGTGCTGAACCTTTCTCCATACACAGAGATGCTTTGTTATACTGATTGTACTGAGACAATGTCAGCTTGTAGTTTCTAACCATATTTGGCTAATAGCTTTCTGCCATGGATCAGCTGCTTCCAATTTTTTGATTCATAGGGTCCTCCATAGCATTTCCTTGCCCTAGACTTTTCACTGGGTCATCTTGAAGAGAAAAAGAGAATTCCCTCATTAAACTGACCCAGTGTTAGGGAGAATACAAGTCTGCACTGTCTTTCAGCAATATTTCACATTGGTCTGAGGGTAAGCCCTTGTAAACCAGCCTACTACTCTTCTACAGGCATTTTTGGAGACAGATACGTGAGGCAGAAAGAAAAACAGGAAACTGCAGCCATGAAAATGGAAAACTGAGCTCTGATTTTAATTGGATTAGCTTAGAATACATCTAATCTGTCTCAGATATTTATCTTTATGTAGTGTGCTGTGTAGTAACAGCTGCTTCACGGCTTATATACTTGGGGTTTTATTTGCTTTGCAGTTTCTTCTTTGATTGATAACATGGATGTGGGGGTTTCCTGCCTCCCTGAGACTTTTTCCAGACTGATAAACATCCAAGAAGAGGATTATGAAGTTGATCATTTTCTTCATGAGTGTACAGATCATTATGGCTACAATCCTGGAGATGTAGCTGCTGTTATGGAGATCCGTAATGCAATAGAGGCAACTTCCCACTTTGGAATTTGCAAAGTTGAGCTGAGCAAACGTTTCTGCAGCTATGAAGAGGTGGAACCTGAACGCACCAGGAGCTTGGAGCAGTACATTCAGGTGGGTTTACAGCCAGCTGCTTTCCATATATTAATACTTAGATGCTTAGTATTCCCCTCAAATAGCACAACCTTCCAAGATATAGGAAGCAAGTATAAATAGAACAAAGCTCTTTATATTGGGCAAGAGATCACATACCTGATAGCAATCTCACCTCAAAGTTAGGAAGGCCAAAAATTAAAGCAGCATTTATTCAAAGATAAGAATGAATGGTTTTAGAAACATAAAGGTACCAACCTTCACCTTTGGAAGCAAAATACTCTTTCCCAGCTACATTTTAACTTAATTGAAGCTGAACAAAAATGTCTTGTGCTGTCATTTCAGTAAAGTTTAAGAGGTAAAACATCAACTTCAGTGCAGCAGGACAGAAAATTGAATATTCTGCTAAACTCTTTCTTTGCTGCCAGTTAAAGATGACATTTTCCAGCAAAAGCTCCTGAGATAATTGTGTGGTTTTGTTTGTTGTTATAGGACCTTATTGAAATGAAGCAAGTTTTAGAAGTAGGAGGCCATACTATAAGACTGGTTGCAATAGTATTTGCTAAGCCATGGCTATTACATTCAGTATGTCTGAAGAATAAGCAAGATGATTCTGATCAGCAAGGTACAGATGCCACTCTCCCAGATGTACAACAGGACTGCCTGCCACTGGAACCAAAGAATGGAGACGAATGTTTGAGAGAGGAGGAGCAGCTGGGAGAAGACACACCATCCGTCAGTGATGAAGAACCACCAAGGAAGAGATTTAAGACTCAAAATGATGTCCTTGCAGATGGCGATCAACTCTGCCAAGGTTCACAGAGCAGTTTGAAAAGTGCAGATGAAAATAAATTTGATGCAGGTGTTCCTGATTCTGCTACAATGATGGATGAAGAACCAGACTCCCTGGGAGGGCAGACAGAACACCTAGCTGAACACCCAGTGAGTGTTCCAGGTGCTACAAATGTGGACACTTACAAGGAACAAGATAAATCTTGTTCTGAAGACAAAAAACTGGAAGTAGAGAATGATGAGCTCAGCACTGAGCAGAACAAGCAGATTCCTAGCCTTGAACAATCAGCCAGTGAGCAGGATGATGATCTTTCCTACTTACAGGAGAACCCAGGAGTATCTAAAGGTACGTAGGAGCTCTCTGCTTCCAAGATATAGAGCTTAGCTCATCATCAGTTGATCCCAAACAGGTAGCTCCATTTTATAAGCAAATACTAGATTCTTTATGAAGCTATACGAGAGAGAGAGAGGTTGTCATTATTCACAGTTGAAGTGACATAACACAACTTTATCTGGAAGGTCTTGGAGGTTTCACATACGTTAAAGATTCCATCCTATGCCTATTGCTGCAATGTTCATGACTAGTCCAGAAAGGTGTTTTCCTTTAAAACTCTTTCCTGTGTCTTACTCTTCTCCAAAAACATATCTGAATCTGAAGTTTCTCAACTCTGCCTTCAGTCCAAAGGCTAGACATCTCTAAACCTAGAAAACACAGCGCTACTGGTGTACATCTAACTAGAATGCCCATGACTGAAATGTAGTAAAGTCATTAAACCATTCACCAGAAAGCAGCACATGCCAGTGAGAAGATTAATAGCCTCGTTTGTAACCCAATTTGACTTCATTTTAAAATTTCCTTTTTACTGCCAGTTTTCTTTTTTAGTAGCTAGTAGTTCTTGCCAAGCTCTACATTAAGTAGGTTGTTTGGGATTTTATTTTGTTGTTGTTTTATCAGCTCTGATTTCAGATTGAATCACAAGCTAATTGCCTGTGTGGTATTTTGCCAAGACCTGCCATTACCCATGTTTAGAGATGCAGACTGAAAATCAGTGCAGACTGATCCCTAACCTCTTAAAGCCTGGTACTGTTTAATTGGAGCCTTCCTGCAGCAAACAGACTCAGGGCTGTCTAAACTGCATAGACTTCAGCAGTTCTTAACATGAAACGGTGAACTTACAGCTTTGGATTTAGTTTCCTCTACTTGTTTGTAACACAGGAGGGAAGAAATAGTTATGTTATCAAGCACAGAGTTCTGACTCTACTGTTGAAGGCCAGCTGAAGGGTTTACATGTGCTTAAGCCAAAGCTGTTAGCCTCTGGGTGTGGCAGATGTTAAGTAATTGTGTAATTAAAGTCCATGACATAATGCATCCTGGAAGTTTCAGAGAAAACCTTCACTTTCAGTCTGAACCCTGCTGAAATCCTGAGTTTTCATTCTCAAGTCCACAGCTGCTTGGACTTCTTCTCACTTTCCATAGGTTTACCAGGAGCATGAAGTTAGATAAGCCCAAGTGAGCACAGCAGGCTGAGAACGCTACACAGGGTTCTGTGTGAAACTTGGTTCTTTCAGTCAATAGAATTACCTGTTGCGCAGCCACATCACCATATTTCTAGGAATAAAACTTCTTGCTGTGATTTGGGAGTGGAACCACAAATTGGGTGGTTGGAGAAGACAGATGTGGTTGCAAGAAGAGGTTTGGGAAGAAAGGGTATGCTGCAGTCAGGTAAAGGCAGTCAGCATGGAAGCTCAGAGCTCCCCGTGCAACCAGATCAACATGCAGCATAGCTTGTGTGTGTTATTTTCTAATGTAAACTGTTGCATTTTACAGCATGGACACCTTTTACTTTCCTTCCACTAGATAAAAGAGTTTGGGTTAATTAAAAACAATGTGTTCCTTTCTTTACAGGAAGTTCTATGACAGATGTATCCCAGGCAGCCAGGGACCGGTGAGTAACACAGACTTCTGCAGAGTAACTGAACTTAGCACTAACAAATTAATATCTGGAAGCAAATGGTTTGGAAACCTTTGTTTTATGCAGCAGTGAGCATTGATGATGGAGAAATCCCATGTCGTCCTCCGTTGTTCCTGTTAATGTTACTCGTGCTCATGTGCATGCTAGAAAAATTTGATAAGTTTTTTTCCAGAAAACCAACTAACTTGGAGGAACAGAATTAATTTTATTTCGTATTAAGTCCAGTGCCTGGAAGTCTGAGCTACCACATGCCCAGGAAAGACCTGAAGAAACTGCAGCATGGGAAATTTCAATTCCCACACAGGGTCTTTTGACTCCAAAATGCTAAAAATGAGGAATTTTTTTCCTGTCTGAGCACTGTTGCTGCATGTTGCAGATTAAAGCAGGTCTTGAGTAACTTCTGGAGGATGTTAGAGCTAGTGACAAACAAAGCTTTCCTGGTCATCAAGACTCCAGGTAACCAGTGGGTGGCATACTGGTGCTAAAAGCACTTCTTTTAAGTGGACACTTCAATGTGAAATACTTCAGGTCTGTGGAACTGTCTGATAGTTTAGCACCAGTCTCTGCCCACAGCAGCTACAGAAGTTACACATAGCACATGAGCCAACACTGGCAATGGATGTAGTAAGAATCTATTACACAGAAATTGCGATGGGAAATCTAGTTGGAAGAATTAAGTCCTGATGGAGCTGAACTTAAATTGTCTTTTGCAGGGCCTGCGAGAATGTCTGCTTCATTGGGAGACCGTGGAGGATTGTGGATGGGAACCTGAATAAACCTGTGTGTAAAGGGATGATGGAAGCCGTGCTCTATCACATCATGACAAAACCAGGCATAACAGAAGGCGCACTGCTGCAGCATTACATGGGGGTACTGCAGCCTGTTGCTGTCCTTGAGATACTGCAGGTATGTGAAGCACCAGCTGTGTGAACTTTTAACCTGGTTCAGCTTCCACACAGAAGAGTCAGCAACTACTTTGCTGGAAGTCCTAGGGAAACGGGATTCTGAACAAACCGTAAAAAAGTCCTCTCCCCTTCCTAAAGTAACTAAAGCCAGAGCAAGTTACTGTTCACAATGAGGGAGGAAGGAAACCTGCTTTACCTGTCACTGAAATGACCATACGGCTGATTTTAAAATTTGAGCTTGCTTCTGAAACAATGTACATGCAGTTAAAGTTCTAGTTGGTTTCTGAAGTGGTGGCTTGTCACTGTGAAATACCAAATTGGACTGTTTAATACAGTGTTGATCACTAGAGTTTAGCTTTGTTTTTCCCTTATACACCTTTCAGATGAGTAATCTTTAATGTAAGAATCAGACTGAGCTGTGTCTGTGCTAGACAGCACTGTAAATAAGACCTTCTGTCCTGACAGACCTGCTTAGAGGCACTTTTCCTTAATTATAAAACATGACACAGAGAGAAAAATTAGTCTCTCATCTTTTCCCCACATCTTGAAGTTTGATTGCTACCACCACTGCTATTTTGCAAGTGAAATCTTTATTTGTATTTTTTTTTCTGTAAGTATTCAAAATCTTAAGCATAGCAATAATATTGCAGTCCTTCCCATAAGCATGGCTTCCCCTGCTAATGCTGGAAATCAGTCTTCCGTCATACGTACGCCACACTTTTGTCCAAAGGCTTGTAATTTTTGATAACAAGGCAAGTTGTGTACCCTACCATCCTGTTTCCCAGGTGTTCCAGCACAGCTTATCCATAGGTCCTGTGCTGGAGCAACACTACCAGGAGGGAAGCTGGAACGAGGGGACAGGCTTAAAACTGCAGTAGAACATACAATGGTGAGGCATGCATACGTGGGAATGAGTACAGATTCCTCAGCAATTTTAATTCAAATCCACAAAAACAAGCAGTTACCTGTACATTTTACAGACTGGAGGACTTGAATCTAACTTCTCTACCAATAAACTTGGTAAGACTTGGCTTTGAAACCATAGACAGAGCTTGTATCTGTAATATACCAAATATTAGTAAATCTAGGTGCATACCTAAGTAAGATGACTGAATACACACCACGTGTTTTCAGCAAATAGAGCACATAAATGACCTTGGTGGGTGGTGCCATAGGAGTAAATACCTACCCATTAGCAAGAACTGACCCCAGAGTCTGGGATTTACATTGATATGGCCTGAAATCATTTGCAACTGGTCCTCAATGTTGGAATATGTTGTTGAATGCATGTTCTGTCTCAGCAGCCAAATGTCAGTCACTGCGTTAACATCTGTAAGAAAGCATCTATCCAGCTATGGGAACTTGCTTTGCTGTGCTGTGAACTTTGCCACCCGAATGGGGGATGGCACTTCACCTGAGGGGGTGAAATGAAGCCACTTGCAGTGCAAATTAGTATAAATTGGCCAACATTTCGCAGAACAGCGTTCAGTGCATTTGTTTTTACCACACTCGCTCAAGCTAAAGGTGTGAATTTTTCTGCAGGGTCTGGAAACTCTCGGCTGCATCACACGATTCTACATGAAAAAGCCATCCCCAGTGTCGCTCTTTTCTCAGCCAGTTATCGAAGAACAACTGAACAATCCCAGACTGAGCGAAACCCCAACAATACACTATGAGCCTACGGTAGACTGTACTCTTAGGCTGGGAAGAGTGTTCCCCTCTGAAATGAACTGGAATAAATGGGTGCAGATTATCCCTGTATAAAAGAGGCAAAGCTGAGCCCTCTTAAATGGGTTTAGCCCGTAGGAGTGTAAATATGACAATCTGCGCTCCATCATGTTTTTTTTTAGTTATTTATCCTTTTTAATTGTGAATGTATTTAAGATGAGAATAAAGCTTAATGTTAAGATGCAGGTATATTTATTTGGTCCCACTTTCAGTACCTTCTCTTTCTACCAGTAACTGCTTGTGGAGCATGCAGTTTGTAATTTCTCCTTTACTTTACAGGGTTTTCACAAGATAGCAAAGGCTCCTTTTTCCTTGTCCCTTTAGGGTCACAGCAGTAACAGCTCACCTTTGCTTTTCCCTCCACCTGGCAGCTGGCTCTGTGCTAAGGTAGGTAAGATAACCAAGCGAAAGGTTTGTCTATATTTTACACAGTGGTTTCTTGGCATATGCGGTATTAGTTTATCATCTGTTTTTAGCAGCCGCTGTGCTGTGCGAGGCAAGAGCCCTGCACCCCTCCCCTTGCTGCTTTCAGCAGTGTGTCAGCTTTACCGAGGACAGTTTTAAAGCAACCACAGCACACAGTTCCTTACACCCAGTGACATGTTTATTGCCGCAGATTCCCCCTTTTTCTCCCCAGATCCCATCGGGCCTGTGCCGCGCCTCTTCCCTCAGCCCTGAGGCGGGAGCGGCGCGGGGCCCTCAGTCCCGCCACCGGTGCCCGCACTGCGCGTTGCAGCACTTGTAGAAGGTGGTCATGGGCTCGTCGGCCGAGCGCGTCTGGATCTGCATGAAGTAGGCGCGGGGGTGCTCGCACTTGGGGCACGGCTCTGCGGGACGAGGCGCGGCGCCGTGAGGTGAGGCCCACTCCTTCACCGCCCTCGCTCCCGTCCTGTCCCGTCCCGTCCCTACCTGCGGTGGAGTCCACGTTCTCCCAGGCCGCGGCGCCGCCCAGCACGTCGTCCACCTCCTTGAGCCGCGGGTACTTCCTGCTCGTCACCTGCGGGACGCCGCCGGTCAGTCCGGGTCCGGCCCCGCGCCCGCCCCCCCTGCCCCGCGCCCTGCCCGCCCGGCACCTTCCTCGTGACGTTGCGCACGTAGGGGCAGGTGGTGCAGGCGAAGCGGTGGCAGCGCGGCCCCTCTTCGGCCACCAGCACGTTGCCGCAGGCCGGGCAGAAGAGCAGCATCGCCGGTTCCGCGGCGCCGACCGCCCCTTCCGGCGCGACGATGGCGGCGGCGGAGCCCGAGGAGGAGCTGGCGCACGCAGAGGTGCTGGAGCTCTTCCAGGAGGCGCTTGCGCGCCTGGTGCGGGACCCGCTGCTCTGTGACCTCCCGCCGCAGGTAGGGCCGGCGCCGCCGGGGGCCGGGCGGAGGCCGGGGTAGCGGTGGCGGGGCTCAGGCCCGCCTCACTCGCCGGCCGCGGCCTTCCCGCTCGCAGGTGACGGCGGAGGAGATCGGCTCGCAGGTGGCGCTGGAGTACGGGCAGGCCATGACCGTGCGCGTCTGCAAAGCGGACGGCGAGACCGTGCGTGCGTCCCGGGGCCGGGGGGCGGCAGCGGGCCGGGGCCGCGGGCCGGGCGCTGACGGGGCTCTTCGCCCTCCGCAGCCGTGGTGGTGGTGCAGAACGCCTCGGTGCTGGACCTGAAGAAGGCGCTGCGGCGGCACGTCCAGCTGCGGCAGGCACGGCAGGGAGGCGTGCAGCACCTCAGCTGGTGAGCGGGGCGGGGGGCTCCGGCTGCACGCACGCACCCGTCTGCAGCACTCCCCCATGGCCTAAGCGGTTTTGCCCTAGGAAGTACATATGGAGGACGTACCACTTAACCTACGGCGGAGAGAAGCTGGCAGATGATAGAAAGAAGCTGCGAGAGTGAGTAATACAATCCCTTCTGGGGGCTGGAGGGGCCGCGCTGGAGCACACGCAACATTGGGACTTTGTGCCTGGCTCTGGTAGCTCCTGCACTTGAACAGGACCAGCACTGCACACACAGCTGGGACAGGCCCTGCCCTGGCAGACCACCTGCAGGACAGGAAGGCCTCAGGCAGTTCCTCAGTCACAGCCCTCCTGTGCAAAGTGTGCACCTCCAATTCAAATCACACCGAGGTACTTAAGAGTAGAACACAGAGAAGGCCAGAGATGGTGTCCTGTGCACAAGGCGCATTAGTTCAACTCCCAAGGAAACTGGGAGCACTTGGGGAGCAGCTACTCAGCAGAGCATGGGGTCAGGTCACATTGTATTGTGGAGGGGACCAGGAATGGAAGGAACCCTGGACAACTTGCGCCAGTGCTCCCATCACCCTCACAGAGGGCTAGGCAGAGCTGCTGAGGTAGGGAGGAAGAGAGAAGAATGCCAGGCAAAGAGTGTTGGGGTCTGGACTTGCTCAGCCAGAGAGAGGATCTACTAACAACACTTACAAATAACTCCCATGTTTCCATTCTCAGGGCAAGGAGGCAGGAGGTGCTTCTGAGCACTCTAGCAGTTGCATACAGCAGTGCTGGGTATGCCAGCCTGTGTGCAGACCAGCAGGACAAGCTTGTCTGAAGTATTAAAAATTTAGCAAGACAGCCCTACTAAAAGCTTTCCTTAAAAGACTGAGCCATGGGCAATAGATTTAAGGGGTTGTTGCAGTTAGAAAGGCAGATAATCAGATCCTTAGTGCTGGCAGCGTGTTCTACATACACAAATAAGAAATTGTCCTGCATTAGAGCATAGCAAGCATGTTAAGAGTCCATCTTGCCCTGGGAAAGAGGAGGCTATAGGCGTTCAAAGGTTGCAGTTCCTGGTTAACTGGCACATAACAGCATAACTGTCCTTCAGGTATGGCATCAGAAACCGGGATGAGGTCAGCTTCATAAAGAAGCTTCGAAAGTAACCTGTCAGGTAAGTCCTGAACATCCATTAGAGATACCACTTATTCATCTGTCTCTTCCCCAGGCCTTAGTGTTCCAGCTCAGAGCAGCCAGTGCTGCTGCTCTCTGCTACACAGCAGGGCATTACTGAAGGCATGTGTCTGGGTTAGGCTTGCACTCTGTGGTCTGTTTCCATATCCTGGTTGTGTTGTGCATATTTTTCTCTGGCCAAAGAATGACAATTCAGCTACTTCAGTTAACATGCAGCAACAGCAGTATCTTGACAGTGATGTATCTCTACCCCTACTTTATGTTTAGACTCTCAATCTTCTCTAGCCATGTCCTGAGACTGATTAAATGCAGTGTTCTTTTGCTGGTTTGACTGCTTCCAAGGTGTTAATTTTAGCCTTCTTGCATGTCTGTAAATCACTGTCAGGAATGTGGCTGGGTGCTAACTCATCCCTACATTGCTGTAGGCAATTGCCATCACTCAGGTCATTTGGGTCCTTTTGTGTGCCTCAGGCTCTCATACCCACATGGCTGTTCTCCCACCCTGCTCCGAGTGCACCTGTAACTAACAGAAATGTCCCGTGGGTACACATAAGCAAATGCAGCAAGCAAACAGAGCGTGTTCTTTGCTGTTCCATTGTGAGTGTATCTTGAGCCATTTTTCTCAATTACAATAAGGAATTAGGAAGAGGGATGTCAGCTTACAGATCCAGTTTCTCTATTTCTGGTTTCTAGAAACCAGAGTTCAACCAAGTAATTGTTCTCAGAAGACAGGACACACCATGAGACTTCTGGTCATGGTATTTCTGTGCAACTGATGCATTCAACAGGAAGCACTAGCAGCACGTATATTCACCTGTTTGTAATCTATATAGACACGATTCTGCTATTATGCTGCTATTTTTATAAAGTTGTGCACACAAACACAAGATGTGGCCAAGACTCCAGCTTAGTTATTTTAAAATCATCTCTGCTTCCTCTCCACATCTGAAAATAACAGGCACAGTGGCTGAGGAGTAGTGGCAAGAGCAGCTTTTCCAAAAGCTTGGGGTTTTGTTTTGTGGCTCCAGGTAGCTGCGTTAGAAACTGTTGCTTTGTGACCACAGTAACCTTTTCTTCTTTAAACGCATCCAGTGTAATAAAATGTGTGCTGTAACAGAAGCCATCTGCCCCTGGTGCCTGTGACCAGCAGTGACCTATGGCACTGGCTGATCCACCCCAATGGAGGTGTGGTGATAAGAGAGCCCAGCATGCAGTAACTATTGTCACTGCCAAATATATTGTTTCTTTAACAGAGCACACAGATAATCCAGCCCTACCAAGAGCAGAGTGAGGATCCGATGCTGTCCTGGAGGAGAAGGTGGTAACGTCAAAGAGAAACAAATTCCAGTTGAAATGGACATTTTTTGCAGTTGCTGTTTGAAATGTCTGTTTCTGAGCTCTAAGTGGAATGCACTTGCAGTGATTAAAGAGGCTCTCTTTTATTTTTCTGAGGCTTTTGAGGCTCTTATTTCCAGCTGCAGGTCTGTCAGATGTAGAAAGGATTGATTCTAGTGGTACATGAAACAGCACAGCTGAGATAAAGTAACAAACATAGCCACAGACTATGCAGAACAATTAACAGTAGCTAAAACGCTACCTTACCATTTAATCACCACCTCAGCAGTAGTAAACAACTCTGGTTAAAAATGTAGTATTGAAACTAGTGTAATAAAAATAATGGCAGCAGAAAAGGTTCAATACAATTGAACAAGGCACAAATGTTCCGTTTTCAGATTCTTCTGAGATAAGGCAAAAACATGCCTGCCAAGTGCTAAGGAGACAGTTTAAATTAACCACGGGCAGGGTTAGAAGTGTCATTGGATTAGAGGCTTTGTCCACATGGAACTGGCACAGCAAACGCAAAGACATCTATCTCCAGTGCCTGCTCGAGAAGCCAGCCTTTGCCTTTCAGTGGAGCTGTGCGTCCAGGTCATATTTCTCGCAGAATTTGTCTGTGAATGGTATACAGGTGAGGAACTCGCACCACTCGCACTTGATGGGGTAGAAATAGAACAGAATCACGAGTCCTGAGAAGAGTGCAATGAAGATGAGCTGGAAAATTATAATTTGGCATCGCTTCCTATATAAATCAAACTTTCCAAAGCTAATGTAGGGCAGGAAGGCAAAGGAGAGGAAGAAACCACTGATAAATCCTGAAATGTGAGCAAAATTATCAATCCAAGGCAGAAGGCCAAATGCAAAAAGAAAGAGCACCACAGCCAGCAGCTTGAAGAAGGCCCTCCATGGGCGTGCCAGGATTTGCCAACTCTGGAAGAGCTCCACAAAGAG